ATGTGGAAGGCCGAGGCTTCAACGGGATAATTTGGCCAGGAGTCGACACCGTATCTTGGAACGCACGCTATGGCAGTATCCTGGGGAAGTATAGCGACGGATGTGTATTCAAATGGGATCCATACGAACAGACAAACGATGAACTACGCACGCCTGCTAGCTTGGTCCAATGTAGTCCTGATGGCCTGTCATTCGCGACATGCGACAACAGCGGGGTCGTTCGCCTTTTCAACTTCCAGAACTTTGCTATGCTATATCAATTGAGGTGTGATGCTTCTCCAAGAGCGCTCACATTCAGCCCTGACTCCCGTCGCTTTTACGAGATACGCGATACCGTATGCACCGCCTGGGAGCCGGCAGCACTCGCTGACTTGCAGGAGACAGGGGACCAATCCGAGGATCAATGGGAAACACAGAGTGACATCTCGACTCTGAACGAATCTATCCAGGTTGTTGAAGAAGAGGACAGAATCACAGCTCTGGCTGTGGCTTCGCACAGCACATTCTTCTGTGCCGGTAATGAGGTTGGGGAGGTCGATCTGTTCAATGCGGAAGGCATGAAGATATTCAACATGTGGAATTCTCCACGGTATATGATGATAGACTTGTTGGTATGGGACAACAGTGGTAAACGTCTTGCCATTGCAGAGTTGGGTGGAGACGTTAGCGTGAAGCAGGTCTCTCCACCCTCTACTGACAGCGATGTGAAGTGGAATGTCCAGCCAATTCTCAATCTCAACATATCGTCAGAACTGGGTACTGTTCAACAACTACTATTCAGCCCTGATGGAAAACTTCTTCTCCTGGTCAGGCAAAACGCTGTACAGGTGTGGTCACTAGAGGACAAAATATTGATCAGTCAATACCAGGGAAACAGCGAAACAGGTCAGCATTGGATTAATGATCCGACCGATCCGCAATCACTGCTTGCCTTCGATTATGGAGGCATAAGTCGTTTCTCATGGGCTAGCCTGGAGGCAGCGAAATCCATACGTTACGACGACATAAACAACAGCATCGGTAAAACGACTCGCATACCATCAGGCTCAAACCATTCAGTGGACCAAAACCAAAGAGAAGCCAGAGCTTCTCCAGATTTGAACTACCAGACTGTGAATGCATATCTAGCTCAAGACCAATCTCACGTCGTTGTGGAAAGAACGACGAAGTCAGCACCCCAATCTCACATTATACTGAGAGTTTCTGAACTTGACTCGATCCTTCGTCTGAAAAGCACCGACGCAACAGTCTCATCGTTCCCAGACACAGCAGTCCGTCTTATCCCAGAAGAAGTCACAAAACTAGTCGAAGTCTCGCTCGGCGTGCTAGCGAAAGACAGGTTCGTCTTTCTTGACCAAGACTTCTGGATCTGCACCTGGAAGATCGGATCCATATATGCAAAAGACGAGCCTGCAACTGCAGGCAGCACGGCGGCTTCGAAGCACGTGAACAATGTGGAGAATGCGGGCATTGTGAAGAAACATTTCATGTTGCCACGTCATTGGCTCAACGAAGAGTCCTTGCCATTGCTACGACTTGTAGAGTCTGGCAAACTGTTTTGTCCCAAAGGTGATGAGGTAGCTGTCATAGGTACTCGATTGGCACTTGCGTGGTGAAATCAAATACAAGAGACTCGAGACATTTCAACTAGAAGCCCTCAAAGGCATTCATTGTTTGATGCTCAATCTCTCATTACCAACATCGAGATATTGCTGACTATACCCTTGCACACTGCCTGTTGTGTAACCACATGTCCCCCTTGCATCTCCATCCGGTTAGTTCAATACAATACACATCATGTAAGCCGGAGCAGCCTCGTCCTACCCCGCTACTGCACGATGTGCACGATTATCGAAAATAGAACAACAACACGCGCTAGAAGGGTGTTCGCATGCGCAGTGCATGCAGTTCGTTGCCCAGAAATAGGACTTCTACCTTGCCATCGATAAGGATGATAAGCAAACAAAGGAGGGGTTGTTGTGATGTGCAAAGGACTATTTTGACAAACCCTTGCTGCGGTTTAATGTACTAGAGAAAGTGTTGCTGGAGGAGTAGTAGTAGATGGTGGTGGGGTGATGGTTTTTTCGGGCGCTTATGCAGAGTGACGAGTTGACACTGGCGGGTGGGCACGTGGAAGACGGAAGGGAGATAGTTACCCTTGTTCGATGGGCGGTTGCGCTTGGATCGAGATTGTTCTTGGTGTTGGTCCAGTCGCAAGTGAGGGTGGATTTAGCAGTGTTCCATGCCAGGTTGAGAAAGGCAGAAGTCCTGGAAGAAGATGTTTGCGCGACGTTGAATTACATCATACCCGTCATTCCTATGTCTCGTATTCATGTAGAACGGCAGTTTGCGTTGTTCAATGTGCAAGTGCCGCTGGAAAACTCATACATGCACACGCCTATCCGAGCTTACCTTCCAGCGCGCATTTCTACGGCATTTCTCAAAAGATCCCCAATCACGCTGAGGATAGAGCGCTTAATCTTCATTTTGGCAGCCCAAACCCACCCTCCAGCAAACAGAAAAGTGCAGCTGACCACACCCACGATGCAGAAGTTCTGACCTCTCATTCGTCAATGTAACAAGCCTGAACGCCAGAGAGCGGTATAGACGTGGCATGTCTCTGCCTCAAACTTTTTACCCCTCCACACCCCTCACCTTGTGCTTTTAGACGTAACACTACACAAGCTATCATCGGCCACTTCCGAAAATGAAGGTGACTTCTAACAGTCGAGATCTCGATGCTCGCACAGCATGAACAATGTCGCATTGACCGATTAATGCCGATCTTGTGACGGCATCTCCATCTACCAGCCATCTCGATTCCACTCCAGCTTCATCCAGGAAGCAACCCCACCCAGTTTGTGGTCAAAAACCTTGGAAGTTGCCAGACAGTGACATAGGCAAAGGCGGTTCACGCGGAGTGGCAGCGGGGTACAAGTGGATGTACCAAGTGGAGAGAAACTTGATCAAGCGGGTCTAGGCGGGGTTTAGTCTGGCTTTCGTCATGCCGCGGCTGCCAACATTCTCGCTTCGCTTCGGTTGCTTGATAGGAAGAAGGGAATAGGGGACCGGTTCATGCACGCTCGCACCGGCCATGTGTTTTGAAACACCGTAGTGTTGCTGGCCGATAGTGTGCGGTATATGTCAGGCTGCTGCATGAACTGCTGGTAGGTTTGTTAGTGAGCCGGAACCTGGACATCAGGTGTTCTGCGAGCATTGCACATGCACCCCAGATTCACCCTGCTGCAATGATGCGATTGGGGATCCAGACAAAGTGCTCGCCCATGGTAGTGTGATGGGCTTGCCTGTTTAGCGGAATGATGTCGTACGGTTGCGTCGGAATGCGATCCGATGCGACGGAGAAAGGCCCAGATGCAGCAATGTTTGCTGGGTCGAGAAGGTCATCTGGAAGTCTTTCCCAGGGCGTTGAGGAGCGATCGCGTTTGGTACTTCGGAGTAGAGAATGCTACTCGTTCACTGGAGCGATTTCCACAAACGATCTGAGTACCACGCATTCAGCCGTGGAAGCATCACATCCAAAAGAAGTAAGATGCGATCCTCACCAATCAACACAATGCAACCCAACGCCGCTCGCTCAGCTCGTGACACCCACCGAAACCAAAAAGCCAAATAGCAGTAACTTAGCAGACGTCGTGGAAGCGATAGCCCTGGTTCCAGCCAACAGACCCCGTGAAACCTTCCTCCAACCTCCCGTCTTTGTCATACACCCACTCGCTCACACTACCCTTCCATCCGAACATCCCGACGACGTCTCTGTGCCTGTCGATCCCAAAACGCAGATGATGCCAATTCTGCTACTCATTCAAACTGTTGCCTAATCACCCATGTCAGGATGCCCTTGCACGTTGTAACTCGTATTAAGACCGGGGATGATGGGAATGCGACAAGGTTGCCTATCAAAGGAGCTCCCGTGCCCAGGGATGATGCGACGCCTCTTAATCTTGAGGGACTCTGCGCTAAGGAACGGATGGGATGGGTGGCGTGGAATTTTGCACAACGGGAAGGGAGGCTGATAACGTTGAGCCGCATATGTGGCCGCAATTAAGGGGCCTTTCATCATTGCGCTGCGTAACCCCCGAGCATGTTGCCTTGAGGGACTGTAGAATTACTGCAATATCATCGGCGCATGCAATGTGCGCGAGCTGTAAGTAGCCATCCCAAAACTCCGGGCCTTACCACCCACAGCGCAGTCGTAAATAGCACTTTGTGCACTCTTCCCAAACCCAACCGTTCCTTTACACAGTGTGAGCATTGTCCTATTCCTACACCGGGCACGGTATGATATCAAGATAGCAAACCGCTATCGTTCCGCTCGTCCAATCTCAAGGGTCAGGCCAGGCCCCAGGCGGCACGAACTCACATGCATGTCTTCGATTGGACATGTGAATCCTTCCCGCTCCGTGCTGCACAACCGCCACATTCAGCCATGGGGGCCAAAGAAGCAAAAAACATGCCTTGCCTCTTTGACTGAACCTGCAGCAGGCTTCTATGCACAGCGCTTCTTCTATGGTAAGGCTGAGAATAAGCCAAAACAGCCAATGAGGTCATGAAGATGGATGGGCAAGCGCCGGTTGGCTCAATACACGTGGTGGTGATGCAGTACAGGACTGTGACTCACAGTGCGACAGCGGCTCGGAGGGGCTGGAAACGTGTCAAAGAGGGTGTGCGAACATGTGAAATTGGTTGGAGACGCAAAAGCACATGTCCGAGACTGATCTGAGGTGCGATAGGGTTGGTTGTGTCTCAGATGCCATGTGTGGCTTGCTATGCAGGGGCCGTGGCTTTGGGAGATCGCCACCGTTGGAAACTTTGATAGTGTATGAGAAAAAGCGACGCATGTGGGTTTGATAGGCGAGTAGGCTTGTGAATCACGTAGATTTTCGTCACATGGGTCAAGGCAAAGTGAGCAGATGATTGAGTAATGTGTAATAAATTGATAGATAGCAATAGAGTGGTAAGTGGGTATAACTAGTTTTGACCGTGAGGTACCGATCTTTCTGATGAGATATCCGTAGAAATCTCCCAAATCTAGTGGACCAACCCAGAAGACAAAGTGTAGTGGTATCCCAGTACCCCAAAAAATGACAACCTGAACACCATGCGTAACCATTCCAAACAGCAAAGTAACAATAGTTGGCTAGAAAAACAATAGAAGTAAGAAGGGGGATATCATAGTAGAAAGCAGACTTTTTCCTGTGACCCGCCCGATGCGTGAGAAAACCCAGTGTTGTACATTGTAAACGTGCAAAGCAAAGAAAGTGCAGCAGGATTAACAATTACGAAATGCAAGAAAGGGTATCTCGCGGTAACATCAAATAATGCGCAAAGCAATGACGGGAATGGAAAAGGGTATACCGAGACAGAGAACGCCAGCGCCAAAGCGTCTAGGTGTGAAAGGTAGGAGATCCTAAGCAGATGGGTATCGAAGGATGTCCTCGCAGTTGGCATCGAAGCGCATAGACCAGAGACGCATTCCAGTCATGAGCTTCTCGGTCTTCTCAAGTTCTCGGTCGCGACCGAAGATGGATTCGACAAACTCCTTGCCGCTGTTCTTGCCCATGGAAACAGGCTTCTCTTTGCCGCTCTCCTTCTTAGCGGCCTTCCACATGTAGTCTTCGCACACCTTGAGGAGCTTGGCGAAGCGGACCCACAGGCGTTCGCCACTCTCTAGGAAGTCTTCGACCATTTCGTGGTTCTCCTTCTTGCGGATCTTGGGCATGGTCTCGTCAGCCCTCTTGACTTTGCCGGCGAGTTGGATGAGCAGGAGCCAAAGCTCACCTGCCATCTCGGCGAGTGGGGTTGCGGGGCCATAGTGGAAGACGGTCCAGTCGTAGATCCATTTGCCAAGGGAGTTGGCATCGAAAACGGAACCTAAAAGCATAATGGGCTCCTCAGTGGGATCCCAGTTCTTGTACGAGTAGCCGGCGGGGATACCAGCGCGGCGCGCATCTTCTTCGGTGGCCTTGGGGGCGGACTTGGCTGCTGGCGCAGGCTTCTTCGGTGAGGCAGCTGGCTGTCGTGTGGAGGCTGCAGAGGCGCGTCGTTGACGGCTTGGCTTAGGCTCTGGCTCATAAATAGGGACCTGATCATAGTAATAGTGATCAGCATCCCTCCCGTACATGTCGTGGCGCGCATACTGCTCGTATGGCGGTGGTGGGTAGTCGTGAATGTCGTAGTCGCATTCGTAGCCGTAGCCTCGGTCGTCGTAGACAACTTTGGTGTAGACGTGACGTGCCGACTGCGACGGACGACGCTTCCTCTCGCGATTGCTGCGCTTGAGAGGCGGGACGTCTGTGTCGCGGCGATGCCGACTTGTTGGAATATTGTAACCGAAATAACTTACATATTCAGGGGTGCCTCTCGGCGTCGCGTATGTGCGCGGGTCTGCAGCGCCATACTGAGGCATGGCCCCTCCGCGAGGTGAGGGAGCGTAGGAGCTCTGGTACTGTGGCGGCACGGCGTGCGAAGCCCGTCGAGAGTGGGCCTGAACCTTGGGGCTCGCTCGTGGGGTAGCCATCTGGGGCGCGTGTCGTGGGGAGTAGTAGCTGGTGCCGGGACCGGGAGACATTGGCGGCGTGGTGCGGAAATGGTCGTAGGGCATGTAGCCCGGGGGAGGAGTCGGATACTGTGGTGCGTACATTTTGGTGGATGTCGCAGTGCGTGTGTGGGTGGTTGTTGTTTAGGTGCGTATACGGTTCGATGGGGAAGGAGCCCAGGCCGGTGCCTGCTTCACCTTGGAATATGCAAACCGAACGAGGGTCTTCGCGGGCGTTGGGAGCGGGCGGATGTGGATGTGGAAGCAGCGACGGAGGGGAGAGAAAGGGAAATCCGGCTCTGTCTACTGCACATTGGGTTTCGAGTCGAGAAGTTACTAGAGGGTGCCAGAAGGATCCAGAGTATGGGATCCTAATCGAAGTAGACGTTGACGTCTAAAATGCTTGGTAATGTGTGGTGATGATGCTCGAGTGCGCAAAAGAGGAAGCGACGGCGGGCTGCGCCTGCTTTTGAGACCGAGCCCGCTTTCGTCGCTGTAGCCGTGCGCGGACCACAGTGCCCATCCGCCCTAACGCAGCCCCCTGTCGCGCCATGCACCCACTAGAAGCTGCCCAAGGAACCCCGGCTGTTAGCATACCCTCATCTACGGGTCAGATTGACCATGCTGTGCCTCCTGCCCATATTGCCCACGAGTATTCTGGGAAGCTAGCCCCGAACCCTACTGCCTGTCCAGCCGCCTCTGACTCTGAGCACTCGCGCGCTGAGTCCGACCAGAAACAGAGGCGTTGGGGGAGGCCATTCACTCTCCGCACGCCCATGCTTGATGCCTGACGGCGGGCATTGCGCGCCCAGCCTGTTTTATATTTGTTCTGTTTTGGGTGTGTAATATTGGAAACACATGTTGCCCGCTATATGCCCGTAATCCTCGACACCATCGTAAAATGCCCCTTCGAGCATGGCTAGCGTAAGCAACCACGACAGAGTACTCCCTTCATTTGCTGTGCCACATGCTGTGCAGCATCGCCTTGCATTCAGCTGTCACCGTTTTCAGCGTGTTTCGTTTGCTGCTGAACTCTCTTCAAACGGCCCTCCTTGCAGCCAACAAAGCTCCACTCCACCCTTTCATCCTCCATATCCGTCGTTGGGCAGGACTCGCGGCTCGCTACAGCGCGGATGCAATAACACGGCCCATTCTGCCTGTGCTTCCTCCTACTGCGAGCACATGCTGCCACCGGCGCAGAACCCTCCCACACGGGCGTCGTACGCTGCCAATCCTGCCGTGACCGACCAGCTACCGGGCGACATATAGTCTTTGTTGATCGCCAAACATGACCTCAACGTTGCTTTGAGCTCGCGACCATTTCCATACCTACCCCATTCGTAAACTACCTTTCGCCTAGCACAAACGCTACAATGGCCCATCGTCGCGGCACACGGCTGGTTTTGGCTGGAGTACTTCCATCCGAAACAGCGGCAGGTCCACCATTCAACGTCGTCCCGCGTCGCTTGGGACCGATTATCACTGCTAGGGAGGCCCTGTCGTCTGCTGAGAGCCGCACTCTATCGCTCGGATCCCTTCTCGAACTTCCCTCTGATCACTGTACGAAGCTAATTTCCCGCCCGTGAAAATTTTTCGAATGTCTCACAGCTTATCCAAGTCGCTGGCCTGGGGGTGCGTCGTTGTTTACCGCTACTTCGAATGTCTGCAGTCGTCTTCCAAGGCATATGGTACTGTCGATGAAAGGCCCACTTACGGCTGCATATCGCTGCACCGGCGCCGTTTTGATTCGATGAAAACTATCAACAACAAAGTAACTTGTCGCGGTTACATGGTTTGATCTCCCCGCTCGCAGCTACTACGGCTCGATAAAGCAAGTTCGCAGCGCAAGTACCTCGCACATTGAATTTGACTGGCTCCGGCGGAACGCCTGTATCCGTGCTGTGCATGAATACCTGCGCCTTGGTCGCATACAGTCTGGTATCTCCCGTCAACACGCTCCTTGTAATCTCTCGGCACACAGTTCTCATTTGTATTTTGACCCCGATGCCCGGCCCTTATTGGACTACTTCGGGCCTTGTCGCTGTGGCTCATCGGGTTCGCCTTCCTACCGAGCTTCCCACAATGATTTCTCAAGGTGTCAAAATTCTAGGTACCCACTTTGCTATCAGACAACTCACCTTGCGTAATCCTTCGCACCCACCAACATCATGCGTTGCTATGACTCCCCATGACCTGCAGAACTGTTTACTCCGCGCCCGCATGCTACTATCGTCATGGACTGATATCAGAATGAGGCTTCTTCACCAAGTGGACCTTTGCAACACTAAGCGCCCATGATTCTATACACCTGTCCTCAAGACGACACTAGGACGACACAAACGCGCAGCGGGATGGAGGCAACTGCGATACCCATGGATGCTAACCAGAATCGCTATGACGCATCGCACAGGTTTGCGCAGCCCTATCGAGTGCAGGCTCACGACTGCTGCGCTGCGGATTCGTCGGACGACCACGTTAGTCTGCCACGACTGCAAGCTGCGCAGCTGTCGTCGACATGCGAGCGGTCTAGCTGCATGACGCACCTCCTAAAATAATTCATCCGGGCCCAACGATTCGCTCTGGTATTGCAAATTCAATACATCCTAATTGTAAGTATTCCGCAGACTCGACCATGTGTGGCGGTGCACGCGCTTGGCATGGACGCTCCGAGTCACATGCGCAATAATGATATGCGTTGCAGGGATCTCATAAGCGAAACGTCGGTTTCCCCTGTGGCGCAAGGTCGCCTCAACAGTCAACATCACGGACGTCGGACGAATGATTACAAGCAACACGCAATACGCTTGTCACTGATCACTATCAGGGTCCGCAGTTGTTCACGATTGGGCTCGTGTCCGATGGCAAACATTACCGTCTCAATCCGCTTCGTCTTACATTTTATCGCCATCGATCGGCCAGGTCACCGCCGGCCTTACTGCTGCTCCGATTTGACCGCTTCAGTCAAGCTGTTGCGAAGCGAATAATTGAAACACTTAGCGACTCTTGCCACTCGGACAATGGCCCTTCCATTGAAACAGCTCGAATCGATTAGTTCACGACTTCAGCTACTCCATCCTGTAAATGCTGTCGAAATATTCGCCACACACATTTACATTTCCATAGATCACGCGCTTCCGCAGCCGCCCGCTCATCGAAAAAGCATCACTTCAGCGGTGAGTCATGGTATAGGGAAGAAGCCTGTGTGTTTAGCGAGCCACATGGAGGCCAGGCTTCTCCCAGCAACTTCATGCATTGACGAGCAGTTTAGACAGGTGGATCTCGTCCTGCGTCATAGCTTTCGCCCACCGCCATATTTACTTTCCAGCAAGGTTGAAGCATGGATGGTGCATGAGGCTCTTCGAGTTGCCAGTCCCAAACCGATATCGTCCGTTGAATGCGTGCGTCGTTCAGGCAACGAGTACGAGTACCGATCAGCGTGTTGAGTTATCGGTATTTTGCGTCGGTGAGAAGGTCCTTCGTCTCCGCCTTCCGTCCGCTGGTATCGTGAGGCGGCGTTTCCACTCACATGCGTTACTGTCGCCAATCATTGTAGAATTCGCCATGACTGCGGAGGGCGATTTACTAACTCTCCAATCGCTACGCAGAATCGCAGATGCGCCACCGGGACTCATGATCTCCACCACCGTCTTGCCGACCTCTAGGACGCGTATAACGGTCTTGTTTCCTTTTGCGGCAGCCGGACGGGAAGAAAAGGACAGTGCTTCAGCTCTACTGTACCTGCTGCCTAGAGGCTATCTCAACCACGAGCACTGCGGATGACGAGGCTTTCGACGATCACGATACTTCGGATAGGCTAATTGAAACGTTTAGTCACGTCTACCATACGGTAGGACGATCTGCACGGACATTATGTATGCTGCATGCATGCAGAACCGTCAAAAAGAGCCGCGGAAGGGTGTTGAGTTGCCACGAAAAGCATCCATAGACTACCTTTAGTGTTTGGTACCTGACGATGTACAGGTACTCACTGCGCCGATGACCGTTCCGAGGGGCACTCGGTACCGGAGAAGAGGGGAAAGGCGCTATCCGATGCTGGTATATGCGATTATACTTCAAGCTGAGTACCCGCCGATATACGGGCCTTTCTGGGCGGACTAGACCTGTCGCGTGAGATGATTGATATACGCTTATGTACTGCATCGCGAGTCTAGGTTTCATGTCCGATCATTGGTGGTGTATAGAATCTTTCTCTTTGCTTGTTGCTTCACTTTTACAATCAAACACTTTTCGTCTCAAGCCTTGCTTCCTACCTGCCGTATGACTAGGGTGATCACAGTCGGTGAAGATCAAATTTTCTCTTCATGCCATGGGACGTCTGCATTCTGCTGAAGATTGGTCCGTGACAGTAACACTATGAGGTGATACTCTTTAATATGGAATAGGCCTTTCGGATCCGCATCTTGTATATTGATTACGCCTCATTTATGGTAACTCGTTGAAGGCTTTTTGGCGATTGGGAGAGTTCCGCAGGTCTCCTTCTCCCAAGACCGCCATACAGCCGTAGTAGTGCAACTTTCTTGATAGGACAGCTCCCTCGTATCTTATCAACGTAAGATCAGGTAAATCCTTAGGCTTTCCTTACTCTTTGAGTCTTTTGGTATGCTCAGAGCGCCATGAGCTTAGGAAGCAGCATGTACATGTGCTATGCTGGATATTCGCAAAGATTTCCAGCAACTGCAACATCGTTTCTGGTTCCAGTGGATGAACTGTCTCTTGTTTCTTCGAGTCGAACTAAAACTTCTGGAAGGAGCTCCTTTGTCACTGTTGTTATGCTGAGTAGCGCCTGTTCCGTTGGCATTAAGCCACATTGAGGACTCTCACGTGAGGGTGGGGCAACCTCAGAATACCTCCAAGGCTGAGAGTCCAAGTTATCAGCTTACCAGAAACCTGCGCAATACGCACTGCAATTCCTTGTTTGCTATCCTTCTGCCCTTTCTGGCACCTTTCGGCATGTGATCAGTCGCAATGTCGTGTCGCTCCCAAAGCGACGCTTACAAGTCAGCGTTGACAGACCGTTTCACCGATACCACGGAGTCAAAGCTTCTTGACATCCGCAATCTTGAAGTTTTCAAGCACCAACCACTCCAAGACCCCAGTACAGAACTCCGGTATCTATACCTACTCCCAAGAACGCACAACATCGATATCGACGGACAAACAGTAGTTTGCTGCGAGCTTGTTTCCAATGCTGACGAGCAAGGACCCTCTTATGTCGGCTTGTCGTACGCTTGGGGTGATGCTCAGATTCGTCGTCCCATACTAGTTGGCAATAAAGTCTTTCATGCTACTGAGAACCTTGCTGTGGCTTTGGAACATCTGCAAGAAAAGGACAAGACTATCACCTTCTGGATAGACGCTATCTGTATCGACCAGAGCAACTCCAACGAGAAGAGCGTACAAGTCCAGAGAATGGGTGATATCTTTACTTCTGCCGTTGTAGTCATTGCATGGATTGGTCCTGCGACAGAGGACAGTGATTTAGCCTTACAAGAGTTAGAGAGATATGGTGAAGACGTGACGTCATGGGAATGGCTGTCAAGCCAACATCGCGAACGATCTGTGGCTCTACCGTTTGCGTCAATCAAATCTCTTCTTGCTCGCCCATGGTTCAAGCGTGTGTGGGTCGGGCAAGAAGCAGCTTTGAACGAACGAGTTATATTCATCTGCGGTCAGCATGATATCCATCGAAGGCAGCTATTTGATTCCCTCAAGGGGTATTGGGCAAGTTCAATGGCATTGAGAGGCGATAGTTTGTCCCTAAGTTTCAATCGATTTGAGCATACAAAACCCCTTCCTTTCTACGACGTTCTCAACCATTTTGATGCCAGCATATCCTTCGCAGTTGGTAGCGAGCTGGAGTCTTCGGATCCAAGAGACTTTGTCTATAGTGCATTTGGGCGGATCAACGACATTGAAGAGTGTGGACTTCGCGTTGATTACACTAAGTCAGTTGAGGAGGTATATACGGAATTTACTGAAGCTATTATACGCGCTGGAAAGATCGACTTGCTCGAAGATGCTTTGCGTCCCTCTTCAACTTACAGAAACCTCCCGTCATGGGTTCCGGATTGGTCCGAGACATCCGTATGTGGCATTCTTGGAAGTTCTTTGGTACTCAAATATGACGTCGCAGAAATCTGTGAGAATGAGAGAGGCGGTAATGCTCTAAGAATCTCTGCCCAACGTAATGCTCGGATTAGTCGTGTTGAGAATGGCTTGCAGTTGCAGTTGCAACAAGGTGTTCTTGGCCTCAATTTGTCAAATCCAGGTGTCATCAACCCACAAGAGGAAGAAGAGGTTATGTCCTTCTTGAACATAATCCAAGGAGCTCTTGGTCGCAAAAATCGATGGCGCCCTGGAGAGGTTGACAAAGCACTTTTTGACTTGTCGACTGGTATGTCAATTGCTAGATACACGATTGAAGATGATGAAGAAATATCCAACGACCTGTACATGTCATATCAGGCTTTTCGAGGTCTTGCAACTCCTCCTGACGATATCCCGGACCCCCAATCATGGCGAAGAGACGCGAGCTATGCCTATCTCAACATTCTTCGGGATTCGAACATTAAGAAATTCTTTATGACATCCGAGGATATCGTTGGTGTAAGTCGAGATGATCTGCAACCTGATGACTGGGTGTGTGTACTCGGAGGCCTGGAAAGGGCATGCGTCCTCCGTGAGATAGGAGATGGTCATTACCGCATCGTTAGCTTCGCCAATGTCTTTCCTTGGGAAGATGTTGCGAACAATGACGCGCCAGTCGAGGTTCTTACTATAGTTTGAATTGTTCATTTCTCCTTGTAACATGTTCTACTCGCGACTTCTTTCGGTGTGAATGACATTATACAATCATCTTTAACAACGATTTCTGTAGGAGGTGTCAAACCTTCCTTGGTACCTTCTCATCACAGTCCCAAATGCGCGCAAGCATCAATTCTGTACCAAATTCTATACATTCGGCAAGGTCATGCTACCGAGTTTCTCAATCCTACATCAGCAGCCGACTATGTTGGAAGGCACGTATGTCTTCGGCATATGGAATGTCCCTGGAGTCCTTATAGAGGAACATGTACATCTCTTCAAGTAGAAACCCTTCTTCGACTCCGCGCAAAGTCTCTGGACAACCAGATCCAAGCCCGGCTGAGATATCGAAGCCTAGTGTCTGTATGACCTCAGGACACTGCCCCCATATACTCCTGGCACACCTCAAAGTCGCATTGTATATTGACAGTTGTTATCTGATTTCTTTGATCCGGGTCTCTAGCTGACCGAATACTAATCTATATGCATAATAACAGCGATTTCTATCACCATTCCTACGGATCGAAACATGACGAAACTCCTAAAGGATCAGAAACATGCGATATGGATTCAAACAATCGACAGTACAGATATCGATAACATGTTAGTCGTGACACCCTTAACACTATACTAGGCTCCTGAATTCGCTTTCTGTTCATAACAGCGTATAACTGTATCCAGTTTCGAGCAGCATACTTCTTCTTTCATATGCACGAGGCAACACATATGTCGCTGCTGACCGTTTCTCCATAAATTTCGTTCCTCAGTTGCCTTGCGTAGCTGTTCCGCAGTCTAATGCTTCTTGGTGCGTCGTTCAATATCTTGGTTCTCTGCGCCCGCATTGTCACCTGCCACTTAATCCTCTTCCACGAGATTATTGGCATTGATTTCCCTGCTCTCGACTTTCGTGTCCATCACGCATATGTGCGCGCAGCGTCTCTGTGTCAATGCATATCCGTAGTGTGGATAGAAGTGAGTCCTTTGGTGAGATATAGCTGGATAATGATCCAATGCTGTAAATGATACCGAGGACTTCAGAATACTGCCGTTGCGTTGACTGCTTGTTTTTGTTCGGAGTTGCTCCTAATCTCTGCATGAGTATCTCCCAGCCCAGTGATCATGTTAATGATTCTCAGAAGGGGGCCTAGGTAGTAGCGGCGCTGTCACCCATTCGTAGGTAATCCCATTGCTTGCCAGTACAGATCCGGAATACCATACACGCCCGAAGAGATTGGTGCGTAGAAGGTCTGTCGGTATGACAGGAACCTCGGCAAGCTCATGTTGACGGACCTGCCTGAGCACCATAGCCCCCCCTTGGTGCAAAGCCGCGTCCGCCACCTCTTGCAGGTCCTTGGGGTTGACGAACGGGCTTCTCTTGTGTGTTTGGCGTTGATGGGCGACTGATTCCGGATTCCTTCTTCTGTATAAATACGGAGCCAGGCTTTGGAGTATATGTAGGGTCGAAGAGCTGGCGCGCAGGAGCTGCCGTTCGTGCTGGAGATTGCTCATTGCTCGACCTTGGTTGACTGTCCCTCCCACCGCGTCCGCGTCCCTTGCCCCGTGTAGCCTTGTTGGGAGAGTTGCTGCGCGAGTCCTCTGCGGCGGAAGCAGCTGGTGAGCCAAAGATGCGCTCTCGTGCTTCTGCGTACTTGCGCTCCTTCTCCGCCCGCTCCTTCTGCGCACGTGCTTTGCGCTCTTCGAAATCTGCTGCTGCCTTCTTCCGTCGCTCTTCTTCGCTGTCATCGTCATCAAGGCTCATGCCAGCCATATTGCGGGAGAGGACTTGAGGGGTGGGTTTGCGCGCAAGCATCGTGACTTTTGGTTTGAAAGTTGCTGCTACAGGAGCAGGGCGGACTTCAGGGTACCATTGAGGCTCTGGGTTCTCGCTGTTCAAGCTAGTTAGACGTTGTGTCTGCGACTAGAGATTGGCAACTTACGCGGCCTGCCAGAGCTGCTTGTTGAGTTCAGCATGCTGAGCCTTGAGCTGCGCTTTTGTGAGTTTCGGCTTTGGCTGCTCTTCTACAGGTTTCTCGTCTTCTTTCTACAAGGTATGAGCGATCGCTTTCAGGAGAGAGGGGCACATGTACATCAGCGAGCGATTCCCAATCGTCGTCCCAGGCGTCGGCGAGTGTGTTCTTGGGCGGCATATTGGGCAAGTGTTTTTTCGGTCGACTGTAAAGAGGGGTTTCGTCCAAAAGGTCAAGTCGCGTGAAAGAGTTGTGTCCCACAGGTATGATGTCGCCAATATTTCGAAGGGTCCCCACCTTGACCCCTGCGGCGGGCCGCGATTAGCTCCACGCCTATGTCATTCACTGTTGCCTTCTACAGCGAGCAACAACCCGCGTCGCAAACGCATTTACTGCCGCTATCACGCCGCGAATACCCCCGTAAAGCTCGCAAACATGTCGGGTAAGTCACGTCCCCGCGTCAACCACCCGCCATGGCCTCCAAACGACAGCGCACTTACCTGACGCCCCTCTCAGACCGCGACGGCGACTCCACCATGCAATCGTCCCCCACTAATGCTGCCTCGGACGATGAAATGTTCCCTGACGAAGCTCTCCCAAACAATCCAGCCACACCCCACAACTCCAATCTCGCAGGCGTAAACGAAATCTCACCACCAAACTCACAACCTACAACCCGCGAGACCCTCGGCGTCAACTCAAACGGAAAGCGTCCACTGTCTACCGGAATGACGCAAGCAGCTACGAGCAACGGCACGGGTGGAAGCGGTACCCACCAGGATGCTGAGACAGGTTACCAGTGGAGCAAGCAGGAGGACCAGCCGGGCTTTGAGTGGAAGAACACTAGGGCGCGCGAGGAAGAGGCTAGGGCACTGGACAACATTGTCGACAAGAGCAACATGGTTAGATGTGAGTATGTTCTATTCGGCTGCCAACAAGTCTGCTAACGAGTGGAAAGTGCGTTACGGTGATCCGCTCGATTCCAGCATACCCCCAAAGACGAAGCGCTGAAGGTGGCATACAAACATGCTCTTGAGGAGCACAGAAGCATCCACGTAAAGGACTATAACCACGACAGGAGTTGCGTAATGCATATGGTATCATGATTGCAAGATGCGCGCGACGTCCAGGCAATCCGACACTATGAGCCTCACAGAGACGTGGAGTGCAATGACTTCATACATTGAGACAACCTATGGGCTTAGGTAGCTCCAGTATCGTGTCTCGTGAAACACAGCACATTCAATTCAGATTCTTGACTGATCTGCTCTGAACCAATGCTTCAGACCCCGCCCATCCTGAACGCCGTCCCATGCAGTGATATCTTTCCAGCCCTACGAGACACGTCTGACTTCTCAGTCGCTCTCATTCCCGTCGTCGTCATCGTCGTCGTCCTTGTTGGCCTCCTTCTCCTCAAGCGGATCTTCTGTCAATTCCTCTCCGACAACCTCCTCCTCGATTTCGTCATCCTCGACTTCCTCGTCCTCGACGTCTTGTGTCTCGTCCACCTCCTCTTCAGTGACATCTCCCTCACCCGCATCTCCACTCTCCCGTCTGGCCCTCTTCGTCGCCCTCTCACCACCATCATCCGCACCCTCCATTGTCACGTCACCACCTTCCGCCGACTTCGCAGGAGTTGAAGTAGCAACCTCGGTGGTACCATTTGTAGCTTTCTTCTCTTCGCGTACCTTCTTCCTGTACGTATTCCGCTTATCGGCTTGTATCGACGTGAATTTGGTGACTTCGGCCTCGAGGCGGGGGAGAAAGGACGCGAATTCCAGCTCTGTCATTGCATCGAACACATCTTTCGGCATGACGGTTTTCTTGCCGCTGGCGAGTGCCTTTTCCGCGGCGCTGGACAATTGTTAGCGAAAGTCTATTTGTTGCAATCCGCATACATCTGGCGTATGATAGGTTTGTAGGGACCGTACGCTGATGTGATGTAGTTGACAAACACAGTCGCGCTCTTGCTCATAGCAAGGAGCGCATCTTTTTGTATTTGGGTATTCGGTGGCAGGACACCTTTGGCCAGACGCTGGACTATAGACTTTGGCAGATTCAGGTCCTGCAATCGCATTGTTAGCCGTATTGTAGTCCAACACGCTTTCAAGTAATGCGACAAACCTCGACACCCAAGCTCTCCTCTCTCGGTACTGATCTAGGCGGTGCGGGACTCTCTTCGTTTGACACCGCCGATACATTGCTCTTCCTCGGCGGCATAGTTTGGTGTGGTTACGGACGTTTGAGTATGGAAGCAGCGTCGTTCGAATAGTAGAAGATGCGATTGCGGGATGGGTTCACTAGGGAGTGGTGGGCGTAAGGGTGATGGCCTCGTAGATAGTTTTAGTGGACCCTGACGCGTGAGCACGCGTTGAGGTCTGGGCGCGATTTTGGTAACCAAAAGACGGAGATTGTCCTACGTCACGAATATTACAACTACTATCACATCGCGCATAATGAAGAATATGTTATGTGTGCTAGCATGTTTATCTTGTGTAGTCTGTAAATTCAGACTTTGGCACAAGTTAGACCTCTGCCGGAAATGAACTTTCGCGAAGTGTAGATACAAATCTCGTAACATATAGTAAGCGTGGAAACATCCTCTCTGGAGCCTCATGCTATCAACTACTAAACGTAAAGAGAGAAAGTCACAGTTCGAACATGCTGACGCTATTCGTTTCGAGAGATATCATCTGGCTCACAGTTGGAATTGTCCTTCCGTTCGCCTTTAAGGGACTAGGTCTGAAAGGACAGTGAATTTACAGCAGAGTGTTCTCACCTCTGGTATTCAGATGCGATTTGACTTCTCATTTCAAAGATAGGTCCGGTGTTCCTTGTGGCACGATCTTGTGATTCTCAAGACCATTGCAAGCATCAGTGCAAAGAGGCGCTTTCGGATGGCACCGACCCTTATCGATATCTCGCCACGTGCCCGCCCTGGCGCAATCTGCCCAAGCACCCCACTGAACTAGAACCTGGAGCGATCCTTCCTCTGCATCTTCATCTACAACAACTTGACACTGTCAACGTATTTGGTTCCATCTCGTCTACTTCGCATCCACCAGATACTGACTGTCTTATACTTGATTCACCGCCCTTGTGAAGCTGTGAGGCGAAGCGGACTACAAACCTGCTTTCCGAGACGTGGGCACATGGACTCTCGTTCTCCCCGAGCAGCTCTGGCAAGTCGGTCCGCCAATCGTCGGCTTGTGGAGGGCCAAGGACCTTTTGAGCGTATCCAGTCTCGAAGCGAGCACCAACCGGGCGCCGTTGCTGAATGTGGCACGCCTCCAGCGGACACCCCGCGTGCTATCCATTTCACTCGTTGCCCTGAATTTTTGACACGTTAATGACTCACAATAGCTCAATGCAGTACGCGTTGCTAACAGATCACTCCAACTCCAGATCTTGCATCGCGGAGAATATGTGGATACACACATTCCTCTGATCCCATATCGACGGTTCTGCTACAGAGTCTAGCGGGGCGGATCTGGGGTATCAGTGTGGCTGAATCCAGACTACCAGCCAAGAAGTCGTGGTCTCCTTGGCTGCATCCCGCTGTTCAGCACTCTGCGGAAGAATGGCGACAAAAAGCTTTTGGGCAGTTGGGCCTCTAAAGACTATGCGACGCATGCTGGGTAATTCACGGAAGATCATGATCAGGAAAGGGATGAAACAGGTAGCTTGGTGCACGATTACGCCTACCACGAACATCCCTTCCTTACAAGGCCTGACAGCACAACACTAACAGGACATCATGCCTTCAACCCAACTGCTTCATGGTAGACCCTTGGCAGCAAGATGACGTTCGAATTGGCAAGGCGCGCGCAAAGCCAACGGTAAGCAACATATATGCCCAATATCCAAATGCACTCAGCCTCCCTTCTAAAGCGGATTCGTCCTTTCACCTTCCGTTATCCATATCTCAGTTGCATGCCCAGCAAATCCTCTCATCCTTGGCATAACTCTTACCCCGGCAAACGTTCTCCTAGTCCGGTCTGCACCGATAACCGCGTGCCTGGAACCTCCGCGAATCATCGTTACCTATTCACACGCTCTTAAGCCTTGCAAGGTCCCTGCATTGCTGATCGTCCCTCTTCTTCTCACCAAAAATGACGGTGCCAGCTTTGAGGATCGTTGTTGACGGCGATAGCAATAGGGTATATCGAAGGGGAGACAAGGTTACTGGAAAGATCTCCCTGGCAATAGAAGAGGAGGCAGAAATTGAGTCGCTGAAAGTTATCTTTGCTGGCAGTTGTGTCACCAAAACGTCCCGGCCTTTACATGTGAATACGAAAACCGACCCTCCTGCGCAAAGACACGACTACGAAGAGAAGATTCGACTGTTCAACCGCGAGAAAGAGCTAGTTTCTTGCCGCACTCTTGGGCCGAGGAAGTACTCATGGGACTTTGAGTTTGTCTTTCCAGAGTCTACTGAACCACACTACAAACGGATGGCACATGGCTCTAACTATCTTCGAGAGCCACACCCACTTCCGCCCTCGTTCCACCTCAAGACCAGTGTTCCAGGTGGCGCAGCCCAGATATCATATTTTGTCCAAGCCAGACTTATCATTAGTGGCTCGATGGATACCAAGAGGTGCAAGTATACACTGCGATACCATCCAAGATCGGAAGTCGACGTGCCACAACGAGCGAAAGCTACATCTTCTGTACTCTATACTCAAGCATGGAAGCCACACAAAGAGAAAGAAGAATCGCGGGTTAAGAAAGTGTTCTCCGGTGTCTCTATGAATTCGACACCTCGGATCATTCCCACATTGTTTCATCCCGAGAAAGTTGCTCCTGGACAGCACATGCCGTTGTCGCTCAGCCTACTGAACGCACGAGATCCTGCCAATCATGCTGAACGGGAATGCATCATCGACTCCTTGACAGTCACCATCTCGACGTACTCTACAACGATGTGCGGCCACACAATAATGGATCCCGAGGACGTTGTATCGAAGCACATCACCTGCATATCGCGAACCAGCATGAACAGACCGATCCCATTCAACAAAACGACAACTCTGACGTCCAACTTTCGTCTCATCGACGACACGGAGTGTGTTCCGACCTTCAAAACATATTCGATCACCCGACGGTACGTACTTGGTATATCCATCGGTATCAAATACAATGATCAACACTTCACCATCCGTTCCAACACGGCACTGGAGATTCTACCTCGCATACCCCGCGACCGCTCGCTATCATTGCAACTAGAAGACGGCGAAGACTTTGAGCCACTTCCGCAGTACACGCCAAGAGAGCCGTCGCGAGAGTTTGCTCCAGATTACGAATCTCTGTACGCTCTGTCACCGGTTGGGTCAAGAAGCTCAAGCCTGTTTTCTGGAGGATCAACACCAAGTTCTGCGGCGTCAACACCCCAGACTGAAATTGAGCAGCCGAATTACGAAAGAGTTGTAGTGTAGGGCGTTGTCGAGATGTGGGTTCAGGTGGGGCGAAAATTTTCCTTTCGCGTTTGCACCTACCTTACTTTGTGGGTACCTTTACCTCACGATATCTCATACTTTGAGCTGAGCGTACTAGAAATATTTCATATCGTCAAAGAACCGAAATTTCTCATATTATATGGTTTGCTAAATCCAGTCACTCCATCAACAACGGTTCGGTGGTGTAGTTGGTTATCACGTCAGTCTAACAACGACAGTTGTTTCTAACACTGAAGGTCCCGAGTTCAAACCTCGGCTGAATCAACCGTGGCTCTCTTCGGAGAGCAATTTCTTTTTGCGCTCGCGTGGGTGAAGGATAGTGCTCTAGGGTGGGAACGATACACTGTTATCGACAAGAAGCGGACATGTCCCGTGCTCAGATCTCGCCTCTACTTCTCAGCTGTGAGCGACACTCATTTTTGTTCCGTCTAGTAACTGGGATGAAAATCACATACGAAGAAGAGTCTTGGTGGACACATCTGATCAAGCAACAAGTTATTCAAAAAGAACTGGTCGTAACCTTTCCATATGTAGGAGCGATGCGTCTATACTCTAAATTTGTTTATATGCAACGATCAAGCTATACCAACAACTTGTCCCCCGTCGTCTATGTTCAACTCATCCTCAGGCCTCAAGATCAGTCTCCGCCTAGTCTAAATCTAGCACATAAGGTCGAACTTCTTCTGGCGGTCCGCAGTCATGGCACCCCAGGCAGTCTCGTCAGCAGCCTTTCCATTGTCACCAATGGAAGCTGGCTTCCAGGGTTCGTCGAAAGCCTCAAAGTAGAAGCCGTTGAAACCCCAGTCGAGCAGCGAGCAGAAACCGTGCTGGTAGAAGTGCTTAGCGTTGTCCAGTCCACCCTTCGCAGCGTCGTAGTCGGTGCCAACAGCCGTGGGCCAGCCGGTCTCGCCGTTCCAGATCTCAGGGGCCTTGGAGCGGCCTCCAGCGACCTTCTCAATGTGGGCGGTGGCTTGGTACATGTCGTCAAGGTAGACGTGACTGCAAGAGTGTTAGTCTGTGTTTATCCTTCAAGGTGTGCTTGACTGAAGGATTGTACGTACGTAGCGTTCTCACGGCTGGCACCCTGCCAGAAAGCAAAGGCGTTAACCATGATGATGTCGGCAGTGCCAATGATGGCATCACCAGTTCCGTCGGCAAACTTGTTCCATGAGTCTGCAGTTCCGACCTTGATGCCAGAGGGCAGCTTGTCCTTGACAGTCTTGATCTTGCCGGCGAGCTCCTCACCAGTGAAGTTTCCACGGTAGAGGGTCTCAGAACCGACGGTTACGGCGTAGATCGTATCGGTGTATTGCTGGGCAACGTCGGTAATGGCCTTGAGGTCCTTCTGGAAGGACTCCTCGACATCGGGCCTGCGGTACCATGTGTTAGCAAACTTGGCTCTGAATCGTCGTTGGTAGGAACATGAAGCTTACCAGATACCTAGAACAACCTTGAAGCCGGCTGACTTGGCAGCCGGGAGGGCGTTCTTAGCCATGTCGCAGTCCGAGGCAGCGTAACCACGAACAATGGTTGAGCCAGAGTTCGACTTGATCATCTTGAAGTCGTCGGAGTAATCCTGCTGGGTCTTGCATGCTCCGCTTCCCATCTTCGTTCCGAGGGCGAATCCCATCTTGCCCTTCTCAGCAGCCGAGACGACGGCGGGAGCAGCTGCAAGCGCAGCAGCAACAATGGAGAAACGCATCTTCGCTTAGAGTAATGCTTCGAGGAGAATATACGGTGGTGTTGGTAATGACGGATCGATGCGGGAAAGAGAGCTTCAATATGGTACAAAGCTGTCTAAAGATAGAGCTGACGAGGCCAAATAGCCAATTATGCAAAAAGAATGAGTGTATGAACTACTTCCAATAGAAGCAAAAGAATGACTGTGACGTAGAGTCGCGGAGATTGGATAGTGTAGTAAAGAAGAGGAAAAGAAAGGCCTTGGTGCCTGGGGTTTGAAGGGGAAGATCAAGGGGGGCGCGCAACCCACGCTAAACTTCAGAGTCCTGGTTTAGAAACAATGGGTCTCAGGAACACCAATCACAGCGAGTGACGCCACATGCTTGCACATGCTTAAGCTGATGGGAAGAGTGGGGCAGCGGAGTTACGGCATGTGTTCTATGGGCGTCGAGAACACTGAGGACGTAACGTGGGTAGGGGGATTTGGCGGTGTTGTGCACGATGAGTGTTGTATGGATTCAGCTTGAATTTAGCGATACAATGTCTTTGTTTTTCTCGCCTACTCTAACGTCCCGCTCGCGTCTTGTTGCGATAGTTCACGCACTGGCAACCTCACCTGAAGCTCTTCACGTCAACTGCAACCATAAGTATTGCGAGCCTGTTCGAGGAACCGAGACAGCAACAAATTTTCTCAATACCAAATGCAAGTTTATATACATTTCGCCTACCCCTTGGATAACCGAAAAGGATGCGCTTCAGTATTCAACACAAAGTCATCCAAGCTAACCAAGCCCGTATCGGCGAAGCACAGGTAAAAGTACTTCAGGGTCTCTGCCATCCAGAAACTCTCCATGTAGTCCTCTTTCTTTGACCCGATGACAGAAACGTCCATGATCGCAGCATTCGCAAGCTCTGTGTCCGTTGCGTTGGCTACAGCCTCGAACATCTCCCATGCAGTCTCGCGCCAAACGGGATCGCCCGTGATGCGCCATAGTATAAAGACAGATTCAATGGCCTCGGGACGAAGGATATAGCGAGGGTCTTTAGCAGTGGTAAAACCTTTAGGAAGGTGAGACTTGTGCTGCGGTCGTGCAGCTGCTTCTACGGCATAGCGCTCTTCGTCATACGCGCAGGATTTACGATGATCAGGGCCGGGGCATAGAACCATGTTATACCTTTCTGGCATGATACCAGTGGGAAAAGACTTGTAGGCGTATGCACACCCGCGAGCAAGCTTCGCTCCGGTTTCGAGATATTCTGCGTTGTCGAACAGCCGCCCACCGAGCGCGAAAAGACCACCGATGAAGCATGACAGATGCTCGCTTTCGGGGTCAAGACTGGGACCGTCCTCATGAACATCGACGTTGCCTGAGATCAGAATGTCCTCGTTCCCTGGTATCATAGGTGCGAAGAATAAGTTGTTCATCGCCGTATCCATGAAGGAGCGTGACATGGCCTCGTACTTGCTCGAGCTTAGCTCTGCAGACCCAAGCAGGGCATGCGCCTTTGGTAGGTACTCATACAAGGAATCCGCATTCCCACCTATCGTAAACTGATAACCCGAAACAACGTCTTTGGCGCGCATGGACACCATCATAGGCCACATGCCTGGCAGTTTCGTCTTCGTTTGACTCTCCGCGAATACATCCATCAGACTCGACACAGCAGCATAGTATTTGTCGTTCCCCGTGATCTGGCTCAGCCTGCTGAACTCTAGCGTGATGGTACCCGGACTTGCGCTGACCACTTGATTCTCGACGATCAACCCAGTGCCCTGCTTCGCATTTTCGAAGTTGATAAAGTCAACAGGCATGCCGTTCTTCGTGTTGAAGGCGCCATATAGCAGGTCGCCCACCTCGATCGCTTTCGCCTTCAGCACCTCATGTCCACTCAAGTCGTATGCAGCAAGAAGCCCGCCCAGGTAGCGTATACACGTCTCGAAGGTATTGACTGTCGGTGCCGTAGACATACCGAAATCAATGGTCGCAACAGCTTCGACAGCTTCGTAGAATTCGTTCCGCATCCCTAGCATCCAAAGTGTGTCGAGTGAGTCTACCAATGTCGCAGCCCATCCAGAGAACTGGTCGACATACTGTCCACTTATCGGCTTCAGCGCATCCTTCATCCATGCCTTGCTCCTGTAGCTTGCCCAGCTCTTTGCAAACACTCGCTTCACCTCCAATCGTCTCTCCTCCTGTATGGCGTGTACATTGCTCGGGTCGGGTGTGAAGTTGTGTTGAATACGAGGACGTTTGGTGAAGGGTGAAGGAAGCTTGGGGCCGAGTGGAAGCGGGTAGGTGAAGTTCACGGAACTCCAGTCGAAGCTACTCGGTGTTGCGAGGATGCGCGGGATTTGAGATGGATCATTCATGTAACGCGCCAACGCGGCGGTAGAGCCGTGATCCGCGCCATGACGGGACGGGAAGGCTTCGTCCTTGGGAAGGAAGTAATAGATCCAACAAACAATGGAGACGCAGAGAGCGATATGTCGAGTGCGCACACGTGGCATTGCTGAAGCGCGCTCATAGACGGCAGCTACGAGCTAAAGAAGGAATACAGGCGCACTCCATCGCCGGATGCGATTGACGAGACGCGCGGGGGAAGGACCGATGAGACTTAGTATTGCGCAATGTGTTACGTGTCTAGAACAATGCTATGGGAAGGGTTTCTGATACAGTATGCGTTGCCGGCGGCTTATGACGATCGCCGAGGTTGATCCGTGCAACGGAGATCACTCAGAAGCATTCTAACGGTTAACAACAGCTAGAGCGTCAAGTACGTCACAAGCAAGAAGCAACTTATCATGTTATGAATATTATTGAACTAAAATTGCCTACTGACAATAGGAGAGGGGTATACTATGCTGATGCCATGCGTCAAATCTAACAACTTTTTCGACCGTAAAAATGCTACAACAAAAACAGACATTTACTTCTTGCTACTCGCTCGGCTGTTGGCTCTCGGCCTGCCTGCGAAGCTTTCTCTTGTGTTGACGCGGTCGATGTCGAACGGATTTGGGTTGAAGTCGAGATCCCTCACAGTTCTCCGGCTTCTTGTCGAGCGCCCAGTCTGAACCTTCTTGAGACCCTCGCCATCCGTCTCCTTCTCAGCCTTCATCTCCTCGAACTTGGGCGCGGACTCTTCCTCGTGCATCTCCTCTTCGACTTCCTCTTGAGGAGTAAGAGTGGCGGCGCGCGAGGTATCCTCTGATTCGGTACCGGCGGCCTGTCGGGCTGCCTTCGCGGCATGTTGGTTGCGGATCTTCTCCATGAAGGCTTCTGATTGTGCGGCGTACTTGCACTTTTCGCGGATGGTCTTACCGTACTTGTAGAACAAGAACGGAAGCGGCAGACAAGCGACAGCTAGGAAAGCAGGTACGGATGAAGCCCAGTGGATACCAAGGCGGCTGTACATTTGCGAGGTGAAAAGAGGGAAAGCAGCACCGAAGACTGAACGAATGATACCGTTGCCAGCCAAGACGGATGCAGCGAAGATCGTGTACGAGTCGATGAGATAGTTCATGATGGACAAGAAGATGAGAACCATGCCGAAACCGAATGGAATGGAGGCGACGACGCTGGCAGCCCATGGGAGAGTCGGGGAGTTGGTCCAGGCAAACCAGAAGAGACCAATGGGAAGTGCGATACCGCCGATGATGCACATGGGGAGACGTGCCTCGGGAGCAGCAAATCCACGACCGGACTCTTGAACCTTCCTCATGTACATCTTGTTGTCGACAGTAATGACGTATGTGATAGCAGACAAGACTCCAATGGCGACAGCGACGAAAGGCAGACCGCTAATACCCTCGTTCCAGCCACGGCCAATACGGTAGACGATTGGGAAAGCACCGAAAAGCATGTAAAGGATACCGTAGATGATGGCGTGGTAAAGCGAAAGCAAAAGGACAATGGGCTCGCAGAAAAGCAGGATCCAGGGACGCTTGAGACCAGTCGCGAAAGCCTCTCCGAGCGAAACCTTGCCTTGGTCGATATCAGTACGGGATCGGTAAACCTTTCCAGAAATCTTTGAGAGCTTCTCAGCACGCTTCCTAAGCAGGACCGGGGCGTATGTCTCGGGAACGAGGCAGGTGGTGACAACGAGAATCACTCCGGCCCAGATAGCCATGAGACCGTTAACCCATCTCCAACCTTCAGTCATACCCAAGAATCCACCAATGATCGGACCAAGAACGGGACCCATGAATGGCGCAGCAGAGAAGATTGACATGGCAAGTCCACGCTCGTTTGCGGAGAACAGATCGGCAATAACACCTCCAGCGTTGGTGAGAGGACTGGAACCGAAAGCGGCGGCGAAGAATCGAAGAATAAGCAGGCCGTAGATTGTGGGCGCACCAGCAGCACCAGCGTTGAAAGCCATGAAAGCGGTATACGTTCCAATGAAGACAACCTGGCGACCGTACAATTCTGAGAAAGGAGCCCATAGAAGCGGTCCGAGAGCAAATCCGAGAACGAAGAGTGATACACCGAGTGTGACAACCTCTTGGCTGACGCTGAACTCAGCCATAATTTGTTGGATACCTAGAACGTGTCAGACGTCATTCAGTATGCACTTTGATTTGTGTAGAACATACCTCCAGAGAAAGCCGATGAACAGAATGATACGACGAGAACCGAGTTAGCGACAGCAATGGCCATGATCCACTTCTTCGTCTTAGGCCAGGTCATTGGGTTCCTGGGGTCGTTGTCGATCCACTCCACCACATATGGATCTTCCTCAGTTCCCGCACCCTCGTAGTCGTAGTTGATGATCTCCTTGGTAACGACACCCTGGTCCGTGATCATCTTCCAATGAGAGATACCATCTCTTCCAGACTCGACGTCCATGTGACTGCTATTGCTGTTTGCCGCAGAGTTTGCGGCAACCTCCTGGTCCTTCTCCATCGTAGTGTTGTTATCGTATCGGATTTGGCGTTGTGTGATAATTGATGTCTTCCGTCGAAGGAATTTGGAGCAAGGCGGTAGGGACGATGCCCAGTATTAATTAAAGAGTATCTAAAGTAAGGGAAAAGACGAGAGAGTTACGACACAATTAACCTCGGAGGAGAAAGCAGGACGATCACAGCGGGACACGCCACATATAAACAACCCAGGCACACGGTGGACGGCGCACAAGTCATGCGATGCGGCGGTAAAGAACCCACTAGCAATGCGTGACAAGGACAAAACAGATCGGTCGACAAATGTTCTGGCTGCCCAACCAGCTGGATTCGTCCCTAATCCCGACTTGCAACGCTCCCAAATCCGCTTGCAACGTGCGACCCATGAGGCGATGACACCATGATCAAAAATCTTAAGTTTGCTCGGCCGAAGCGTCGGGCTATGCTCGAAACAGCGACGCCTCTGAAAAGCTTAACGCGCGGAACCAATCGAAATACTCCCTCGGACAGTAGGCGCCGAATTCGACAGGGGTTACGGAGATGGGAAAAGGTGCCGCTATGCATGTTGCAGATCGCGGACAGAGCGTCATAGGGCTTTGCAAGGTTATTGCAACGATCTCGAAGTGAAAATGTACCGAGATGCCGAGGTTACCTTGTGGATTCATTCCAGGGATATACTTAGCAAGTGAGATTTCTCGCTCGTTCCGCCGCCTCTAGTTAAAGTGCGGACGGTAGGCTGCTTGAGCGGAGGATCGGTCTCATACATGCAATCCAGGCACTCTACTCCACAACTTTCTTCAAAAGAGGAGGTTACGCGTGTTCTTGGTGTGGAGATGAGGATGATTACTTGTCTACGGTGTACCGTGTAGGATGAGCAATCATGGTGAATAGCTGCTTAACTCCATCACCATAGCCGAGGTGCAAGAGGCGACTGAAACTTCGTTGCGAGCGTATGCATACGAGACTCATCTTATCTCATCCTCGCAACTTCGCACGGGAACGGGTTGATTCCTCAGCAGAATCCGCTCCGCTCCACCCTGGTTCGGACCAAGACGCACTGTACCGACTCCGATCCGGAATTCGGTGTTACATCAGCTGTACATATTGTCGGAATACGCAAACCCTAAATCCAGCCTGCTGCGTATACACAACCTCCACTGTACAGACCTGCAGTTCCCTGAGCAACGGTCAACCCGACAATCCAAATACCCCAACGGTCGTATCTCCCGGATTTCCAATCAAACACTCGTACGCCCCGTGCGTTGCGGCTCAAAATAAGCTTCGCTTCGAAACGAACGGGGCTCCCGAAAGCCGGTGGGTCTGTCACGACTCATGCTGGTTCTAGAAGATGCATTGAGCCGCATCGTAAGATTAGCCCCTTCTCTCAACGTTTTCTCAATTATTGCCGAGGTACATATAACGTGACCGTGTTTGGACGGGACGCGTGGTGGGTTGAAGTAGGTCTTGGGCTGACGACGTACGTGCGAACACATCTATGGATCTGACTCCGAATCATGCCTACATTTCTGTGTCGATGAAACTAATTGTCTTATTGCAAGTAACCTTTTGCAACTGACAATGACAGGAGTGTTCATATCACAAATCTAAGCAGACCGGGTGTTCTTGTCTTGGCTTTATGAATCTCGTTATGCCCATGCGGTGGTGAGGATGGATCTATATTCGTAACACACCCTGGTTTGTGTTTCCAGTTCACTTTTTGTTCAATCACATGCCATTCCCACTTGTGATGAATTGTATCATAACTTCCGACATCTAGCTTGTGTCATTCTGATTTCATATACATATCTTTACGTTTTATCGTAATCGTGAGTGCCCATCCAACGCCAACGCCAATGCTAGCTCAACTTGCCATGCTTTTAGATCACACTCGTCTTTCCAATAACTATCTTACACCTCGTTGCTGGGGTACGTAACCTTCTCAGTAGGCAAAAACTCTTCCTTGACCGCCCTCATGTTTACGAATCTCGACAACAGAGTCGCGCTGCCAGCCTTGTCGTTCGTTCCGCTAGCCCTCGATCCACCGAATGGCTGTTGTCCGACAACCGCACCTGTGCACTTGCAGTTGATGTAGAAGTTACCAGCAGTGTCCCTCAGCTTGTCCGACGCATACTTGATGGTCTCCCTGTCCTTTGCGAACACGGCACCAGTCAACGCGTACTCGGAAGTCTTGTCGATCTGCTTGATGATCTTGGAGAAAGCGTCAGGCGCGGCGTCATCATAGACGTAGGTCACAAGGATGGGACCGAAGAGTTCGCGAGACAGGAGAGGGTGGTTGGGGTTCTTGGTGCGGTAGATGGTGGGGTGGATGTAGTAACCCTTGCTGCTGTCGTACTTGCCGCCAACGACGAGCTCGAGATCACTGTCGTTCTTTGCTTCGTCAATGACACCGGAGAGCTTCTTGAAAGATGCCTCGTGGATGACAGGGCCGATGAAGTTTGAGAAGTCCGTAGGCTCGCCGATCTTCAGGGCTTCGACCTCACGTACAAGGATTTCCTTGAATTCTGGCCACGCAGACTCTGGTACGTACAGGCGCGAACACGCACTGCATTTCTGGCCTTGGTATTCGAAAGCACCACGGACAGTCTGGATAGCTGCGTTGGGAATATCAGCATCCTTGTGGATAAGATGGAAGTTCTTTCCTCCAGTTTCTCCGACGATCCTTGGGTAGCTCTGGTATTTGCCCTCAGCCACACCGTTGGCAATCTTGCCATACAACTGACGGAAGACTGCTGTGCTGCCAGTGTAGTGTAGAGACGCGAATTGCCTGTGAGCCAGGACTTCCTGGGTCACTTCCACAGCATCACCAGGTACCCACTGGATCACGTTTGGTGGGAGGCCGGCCTCGATAAGAATCTGGTAAAGAAGCCAGTTCGACGCAATTGCGGATGGGGATGGCTTCCAGACAACGACGTTGCCCATCAGAGCTGGAGCTGCAGGAAGGTTACCGCCAATGGCTGTAAAGTTGAAAGGTGATACTGCGTAGACGAAACCCTCAAGAGGACGGTACTCAACGCGGCTGCACGAGTTAGCCTTGATCTTCAGCTGCGATCAGGGGTTGTACATACTTCCAGACTCCCGGTGAGTTGTGTGTTGGCTGATGTCCGTATGTGTCTTCCGCGTACTTGACATTGAACCTCAAGAAGTCGCAAAGCTCAGCCGCTGCGTCAATCTCGGCCTGCCATGCGTTCTTGCCTTGTCCCACCATAGTCGCAGCCATGATTTCGTACCGGTACTTTGTGGAGATCAGATCTGCTGCCTTGAGAAACACCGATGCACGCTCAGCGAATGGAAGTGCCTCCCATGCTGGCTTAGCAGCTAGTGCTGCATCTATGGCTTTCTTTACGTCGGCTGCGCTAGCATTGGAGTATTTGGCGATGACATCGGCGTGTGAGGAGGGGTTGTTCTGAGTGAGGATCGAAGAGTTGTTGATCTGGAAAGTGTCAGAACGATGTGAGGACTTTTCGAGTTCACAGCAAAGCTTACGTATTCTCCTCCTACAGCAAGAGGTACTTGTACTGGACCTTGCTTCTTCATACGTGCAACCGCATCTTGGAGCTTCTGGCGGTCTACTGAGCCTTTGGTGTAGTGTTGCTATCGAGCATGATCAGCGGATTGATTCTGAACATTAGGGTTCCTCTTTCAACTTACGTTAGGCTCGTTGTTGACAGTGGGAATCTTGAAGTTGGCGAGCGTCCCCGCATACCGTCTTGATGCAATCTGCGCGCCAGCATAGGCTGCGGGCAGAGCATTCAGAGTCTTGGAAGCAGAGCGTAGAGGCTGTAGACCCTTTGAAGAACCCATTGTGAATAAAACTGTTAATTTTGTGTGATCAGAAATCCCAAGGAACCTGTCGTTATGTATCTTGAGCTGTGAAGCTTAACGTGGTGGAGCTCTGGGGTGAGCCGACGGAAGCCGAAAGTGTGGGGCGGCGAAACCTACCTATGGGAGCCAACATATCGCCGAACCCTCTCATCGGTGGGTAGTTGCAGCTCGGAGAGAACTTTTCACTTGTAGGATGGTCCGATGCAGATCCGATATCGCAGAGACTTCACGCGGTCAGTAGCGGTACACACATGGTTCACGCAGTCAATCGCAAGGCTTGCATCGGAAGAATCCACAAATTCTAGCGTCAGAGATGCAGGATCATCTTCAAGAGCAGGTAACATATCATTGATAGACTCGTGATATCTAGTCGAATCCTTTTCCTCTGTGCAAGTAAAGTAGACTAGCACTATAGTCTTGGATGAACGCCATTTCGCCATACCAGTCAAAGTAAGCTGCCTACATTTCCATAGCTTCTGGTGCTGCAGCATCACTCGGTTCGTCACCCCATAGACCATCGAGCTTGAACTCAGCGGCCCACTCCTTGACAATCTCCTTCTGATCACCAACGAGGCCGCCCTTGGTAGCTGGCGCAGTCTTGGTGGAAGAAGTCTCGGCAGGTGCGTATTTGGGAGGGCTTGTCCATCCTTGGATACGACCATCTCTCCAGTCATTAATGACAGTCTGTGCCGCTGCATGCATGTTTGGTACACCACCCTTGCCCAGTCGGCCTCTCTTTCTTGCTACCTGAACTAAAAAGTCGGTTGTCTTGTCGTTACCCACGGCGAGTAGGGGAGGTAGATCGTAGACTTCCATCAACTTCGAAAACAGTTCCTCCGAAGACGATAGCCTCTTGAGTAACAGAGTGACAGCAGGAACGGGATCGTCAATCTCTCTTGGGGGGACGGCATTGAGCAGAATAAGTCGTGCCTTTTGCTGTACCTTGCTTTCCTTGGATCCTTCGGTATTTGGGAAAACGATACCAGGCGAGTCAAGAAGCTTCAACTTGTTGTCTATCTTGACTTCGCGCAGACTGGTAGTAACACCAGCCTCGGCACCAGTAGGGCAGCCAGCAGACCTTCCGCTTAGTCTTGAAGTCAGGGCATTGATGACGGATGATTTGCCAACATTGGGATATCCAATAATTCCGACTCTGACTGAGCGCTTCAGCTGACGAGACTCGGCGAATGTCTTCAAGGCCTTGAAGAGCGTCTCGGATGTACCCTTCATCGTAAGGTCCTTGTGCTCGAAAGTCTTTGCGTTTGGCGCTGGTTTGGATGCACGTAGAGGAAGGGTAGGGAATGAGCGGCGGAGGTGCACCAGCCATGCGCGAAGGACGGGCGGAGGAACAAGATCGATCTTGTTGAGGATGAATATCAGGCGCTTGCTTCCACGATCCGCTGCCATGACTGCCTGCTCCACCTCTTTCGATCGCGTTCCAGTTGGGTCGCGAGCATCGAGCACATACAAAACGACGTCGGCCGAGTCGACAACCTGCTTGTATACCTTGTCAAACTGTTTTCTTGACGCATCCTTGGCGACTTTGACTCCATCGCCGTGATCCGATTCGTCATCTTCACTGTCTTCCATGGCGTCTTGGTCGTCGTCGTTCTGTTCAAATTCGGCGGCGCGCGCCTTGGCGGAAGCTAACAGAGCAGCCATGGGATTCAAGTTGTTGTCCTGCGCATTCTTAGCAGAGTCGCGCATCTGCTGTGAACCATGTGAACTCACCACTTGCATCGAATTCTCGTCTTCGCTGTCTTCGGCCAAAAGTTCGTCACCTTCAGCGTCGAACTGCTCAAACTCCTCGTCATCGTCCATTGCATCTTCCGCAGTCGCGCCTCCCAGCCTTTGCTCCTTCGCTAATTGCCGTCTGCGCGCGGCCTCTTCTTCCTTTCTCCTGCGCTGCTCCTCGACCTCTGCGAGAATCTTGTCTTTGTAGGGAAACAGGTTGGGAATACCGGGTTCTTTCTTCGTCTTGGAGCGCCATGTTGGGTCCTGTACATGTCAGCATGCGAGCACTACAGTCGCGCGCAGTTGGTGTACCTTCTTCGCTAGCTTCTTCGCCTTCTTTTGCTTCGCCGCCGACGCCTTCTCAATCTTGTGCCGTAGACGCACGGGTACGCGCTTCGATTTTGGCTCTGCAGTTCGTATTAGTGCTACTCTGAGGTCCAGAGACGTGGAAAGCCTTACTTCCGACCTTCATAGTGAATTGTTGACGTGGTAGATGTTGGTCGCACTCGTCTCTCAGAAAAGTGAGAGGATCCAAAAAAAGTTCGGCACGTGAAAAGTTCTGCCGCTCGTGTCCGCCTAGTTAGCTTTAGCCCCACCCCCGCGGCCCTGGCAAGCTCAACTCTTACATCCTCTGACAGGACGAAAACAAGCGCAGATCAATCTCTGGTACTCCTGAATAGGACCCTCATCCACAGACTAGTCCTCGCAGCTATGGGCTGAAGTGTTGCGGCTAACTTTGTTGAAACAGTCGTCACCATGATTGGCTGCTTTCGGGTAGCTTTCCTGATGCAGTTAGCACTAAAATGCATTCTCTTTCCCTACTACAGATATCTTATATACATCGGCCCTCTTCAAGTCTTCAATATCACAGCAACGTCTTGATCTTGTTCACTGCTAGCTCATCGACCACACCTGTAACCTTTCACAATGACTGTATCCGAGGCCTCTTTTTCGGCGCCGGCCAAAACCGTCACGTTCAATGGCCTGGTAAGAACCACTCTTGGTCGCATTGCAGACTATTAATACTGATAACTGATTACCTGCAGCTCTTTGATATGGAGTAAGCCTTAGTCTTCAAGCCAATATTAGCTAGCAGACAGCTGATGTTGGCAGTGGTACTATCATCGACTCAACGGATGCAATAGTCAAGCACTGGCACAAGTAAGTCGTGTCGAAGATTCTTCACATCTAAAGGCTTACACATCCGCATAGGATTGGAAAAGAGATAGGCGTCGATCCTAATGTAATCCTCGCCACATCGCATGGACGAAGGTCGATCGATGTCCTTAAAATCTACGAGCCAAAGCTCGCAAATATGGAGTGTAAGCACTATGTCTTTGTTTTGACAAAAGCAGTCATCTGACAGATAAGATGTCAACCATGTCGAGGGCTTAATACCAAAGGAGTTTGGACAAGACGCGGTTGAAATACCCGGCTCGCGAGCCTTGTTGGACAGGCTCGAAGAAAACCTCGTTCCATGGTCTATCGTCACCTCGGGCACGCGGCCGCTTGTGCAAGGCTGGCTTGATGTCATGAAGTTGGCGCATCCCAAGAATCTCGTAACGGCGGAAGATGTACTCAACGGCAAGCCAGACCCCGCGTGCTATCAGATGGGCGCAAAGAAGCTGGGACTCCAAGAAAAGGAACCTTCCATCGTTGTCTTTGAGGATGCGCCCGCAGGCGTTAGGTCTGGCAAGGCAGCAGGGTTCGTAGTGGTGGGACTCTACACAACCCATACACTAGAACAGCTGATAGAAGCGGGCGCAGATTACATTGTCAGGGACATGCGCAGTGTCACCCTGAAATCCTGGGATAAGACGACTGGGCAAGGAGCCATACAGATAGAAAATGCCTTGGTTTAGGCAAGAAGAGCCGACAATGACAAGTACCTTACTCATTCTTGTGTGGACGACTCAGTGCTTTGCCAGGGTTGTTGATGCGCTTACTCGACACTTTCAGGTTACTTGCAAGCCCAAAGTACTCGTGCATCGGTAATTCAGCTGCAGTCAGACGATTGAAGCTCACGATAAGCGGTAGATTGGACGGAAGATCAGGTCGGGGACCGATTTTGCGGCGAAGCAACAATGTCCAGAGGTTGTAATGTGCTTGACGCATGCACAGCCTGGCGACCCTTCCCCAGCATGCAAGTGTGGTCGCTTGGAGTACTAGCCTTGTTCAACTTGCCGTATCATCCTCCCTAAACGGGAATCGCGGAATGCATCGCATCGCATGAAATACTCCATTTTGAGCAGGCTGAGCCCCCAGCGAACAGCTTTCTAGAAAGATGACGGCGACCCAGACTACTGCAGTCGAAGACGTCAGCTGGGTGTGCCGTCGCTGTGGTGCGACACGACCAGCTGGCGTAGGAGTGAGGAGAGAAGACTAAGTTCAGACGGGTTGGCGAGGAGGTCTGATAAGTCGGCAGGGTGCATCGCCTGATGATAGGGACGCCCTTGCAGCACGACATCTTTTGGTTTGGGCCAGCGGGTCCCCCAGCTGGGGCGCGCACTGAGTCTTCAGAGCTAGGCTAGGATTGTCCGTTGCCCAAGTCAGTCAACACACAAAGTCTGTAGGACGAGGCGGGGCCAATTTGAGTTTCGTACGTCGCACTGAGGCCCCTTTGCTGCAAGGTACGCTCAGGAACAGTCCATCTGATGCCAAAACATGTGCGCCGACATCCGAGGCAGCAGATCAGCGGCGCGAGACGCCCCTTGGCCATGCGCCCGGTGGCATCTCGTCACACAGATGGTCGACTCACTCGGACCGGAAGCGGTTACTGACAAAGAGCTACTCGGCGAGTCGTGAGAGGCATGGCATGTCGGCAACAAGGCGAGTCGCAGTGTTGACGCCATGAGCTCAAAAGCGCGCTCGAGCCCGCAGTCCACGTTGAAGCCATGGCTGCGGCCATGGACTCGTCACTAGACATTTTGACGTGCAACGTGGTTGAGAAGGGCTGCTTTGGCATGGCATTGACATGCTCTCTCGCATTCATGTATATTCTCCGAACGGGGGAAGGCCCAAGCTGCAGCACCATCCATCGCTTTCGAATCAGTGGGACATGTCTCCCGCCCGAGGGCGGATCACAGCCGCCGCCGCAGCTCGCTCCATGGCCGGGCCAATTGGCGCCTTGGAGCAGAGTGCCCCTGTGCGCGCAATCGTGAAGCGCGTCGGGGGTTGAGGCTGCCGGCCAGTGCTGCGTGTCGAAGTGTCTGTGAAAGGGTGGCAGCCCTCCACCACAGTGCACGAGGGCGAGCAGGTGCAAGAAACAAGAGCTCGAATCACCAGGTGCATGTTCTCCAGGATCGAGGTGTGCTGAGCGGAGACAGCCAGTGTCACGAAACTATTTTTGTGCCGGAGCAGCATAATGCATGCTGGGGGGGTTCAGTGGCTTAGCACGTTAGCACCTCCGACCAACCAAGCGGCAGCCAACAACCTGATCGCTCCTCCTGCTCTTCTTCTCCGTCGTCGTTCGCTTCGTGCCTTTCCTACCGCGCCGTCGCGCTGAATACCCTCGTTTTTCTATTGTAGATATAGAGTCTACCGCTGTTGTTTCCCGCTCCCCTTCGTAACCGTCACTCGCTACCATTACTGGCATCTTCCCTCGACACACATCTATATCCCAGCCCCGACCCGTCTCGGTGCATCCCGTGTATCCGTGCTCTACGCATTATTGCCCATCGCCAGCGCCCCAGATCTACCTTCCATAGCTACCTCTGCCTGTCACTACCCGAACGCGCCCACGACGACGACTTCACTGCAGCACCTGTCGCCTCTTGACTTGCGCCCGTCCGAAGCCGCTCGAGGTGTATTGTCGCTGTGCGCGCCGCCATGGATTCCAGCGGGGGCTCGACGACAGCACCCTCTGCGCCCAAGCAGCCCGGCAGCGATGTCAAACCCCGCCTCACCAAGGACCAGCACGACATCCTCGAACAGCACTTCCTGGCCCAACACAAGCCCAGCACCAATGTGAAGAAGGAATTTGCGACGCGCCTCGGCGTGCCACTGGACAAGATCAACGCAAGTCGTCCCCAGAGCGCGCATGCCGTGCCTCGCTAACTCGCGTGCAGAACTGGTTCCAGAACCGCAGGGCAAAAGTCAAGCAGGACCGCAAGAAGCTAATGAACCAGTACAACATGACCATGAGCCTTCCCTTCGGTCATTCCCACGTCCCGGCCATGTCTAACCATTATGCACACCCGCAAGAGCAGCAACACCCGCATATGCTCATGCAGCCGGACTTCTACCCGAACGCTGACATTAGCCCTGCAAGCCTTCCCGTGCAAATCGGCGAGGGACCGTCGGCCCTCGATCTAGGGCCCCAACTCTCACTGCAGCAACACCACCACCAACAGCACCAGCACCAGCAACAACAGCAACAGTTTGACATGCAGCACGGCCTTCACTCCGTTCCGGAACCTGACCGTTCCGCATCATATCGCTCAAACGACCTCATGCACTCCATCATGGCTGCGACCAACGGTGCTTACATGCACAACAGTGGCATGTCTCTGAATGCCCAAGAGCCCGAGTTCTACGACACCACCGGTCTGTCCAACGCATACTCCAGCGACCTAAGCGCTTTCTCGGTTCCAGCGCCCATGCCCAACGATCTTGCACCCTCACATCCAGAATTCGACAACTTTGCCGACTTCCAGCTAGACTATTCTGCGCTTGCTGCTACCAACACCAGCAACTCGGCATCTGCGGAAGCCCAGCAAAGCACGGGATCGATATCGTCGGATGCATCGCCCTACAATGGGACCCAGTCATCTGGCACAACTCAGTCACCGAATGGACCAACTCCTCCTTCTATCGCTTCGTTGAACTCCGTTTACACTGGCTGGACAGAGGACCCTTCGCAAATGGCGCATCCCAAGCAGGTCGAGGAGCCCGAGGACCAGTTCGCACCGTACAGTCTCGCTCAGGCATCAGCCTCCGAGCAGACGCTTCCATTCTGGCCCCAGGATGGCTCCAGCCAAATGTACCCGCAGTCAAACTTCTACCAACAATCCAACACATCCGCACATGCCATCCTCTCTACACCAGAACAAGCACGAAAGCTTAGTGCGGCGCCATCTGATCTCGATATCCCACTGCACTTCCGCGAGGATGCATTCGCTCGGAGAAACTCCTCAAGCAGCAACCTTGCCAACAACATGGACGCGATACACATCCGAAACAGCACTCCGGACGGTTTCCAGCCACCAGATCAACAATCAAGCATTGCGGCAAGAAGACAGAAGCGCCCAGTTAACTTGAGTTCCAGCGCAATGAGGAGTGCTTCCTACTCTGCTCCCATGTCATCACCAGGAGGTAACGGTGACAAAGTTATTCGAAGGATCCGATCGAGTGGGATTCCAAATGCTGGAGGTCGTGTTCAAAAGTCACAACCAGGTTCTGCGCAGCGCTCACCTATGGTGTCAAGCTTCTCGGATGCTGCAGCTTCTCCGAAGTTCGCACGAACATTTTCCACTTCCAGTGCTACAACAATCGGACACGGCGGTAGTCTGGCACCGCCAACTCCACTGACACCACAGGATTTTGGAAACTACTGGGGTGGTGCTGCCGTGATAAGGCCTCACTCAGCGATGCCCGATCACAATAGTCCAGAGAGCATGCACACAAATTGGTCTTCCGATCAAGCTGGAAATGTTATCGCGAAGACCACTTCACCACCATCCTCGTCTTTGGACCTTCAATCGCGCTTTGTGAACGATGCTTTGTATCGCGACACGCCTCCTCAGTCAGCGCCAGCAACACAGCAACATTTCCCTCGGACATCATATATGCAACAACCTCAAATGCGTGCGGCTTTCCATTCGACTACCGACCTTACGATCCAGCAACCGAAGCCTGAGCATTTCAGACGACCATCACTACCTGACACTGCTCAGGCTCAAGGCAATGACAGTAGTTCACAGTATATGCAGGCTGGAAACATGCACTACGATGAATTCAAGGACGTGTCATTGAGTGGCATCCATCATAACGTTCCTTTCGCTCCTCAGGTCTCCGCAATGCCCGACTTTTTAGTACACCAGTACACTCCACCTCAAGGCACTGATTCGCATGGAAATCTACTACGGCGAACGACTGAACCCCAGCCTAAGAGCTATATCTTTGCCAATCAGGGGCCTGGTGACTTCAGAGGGCAGTAGCTTCAGTCCTGAAAGCATATTTATTGCTACGTCGACCTTCGCTTCTTGCTTATACCCGGACTTTTCGTCGATGATTTTATATTGCCAGTCTTACGATGGCAATTTGGCCCAAACTTTTCTCTTGTCTCATTAATTTCTCAAACGAGGGCCAATATGGAGGCCTCTTTGGCATAATCTTAATACGGCACACTCTTGGACATCACAATTTGGCGCAGGCGTTGCCATCAGGAGTTAAAAGCGTTTTTGTCCTGCACCAGTATTCCCTTGATTATGGAGGACTGGATATCACGAAACGTCACTGCTCATCTTGAATTGTTTTCCTATTGTATCTCTGCTTTGTCACTGCTGGAAGGGCATATGGTCTCTGTATCTTTGGGTATGTCTTGTCTGACTGGAAAGGGGAGTCAGCTGGAGTAATGGAATAATGAATCATAGGGACTTGGTGTTGGAGCATCTCAATAAGACTAGAAGAATCTGTCTATGCAGACTTCACAAATGGAATCGACATGCTTTGGCCTCAGTTCACTCCCTCTTTCTGCATGTACTCTGACACCTTCTACAGCACGCAATCATTTGTCCAGTGTCCAAATCACTTTGCCCAGCCAGTTACACTTGCAATTCACCTCGACCCAAAGACATGGGACTCCCTCCTGCATCGGAAACCTCCGCAAGATCTTAGCACCCCCGCGGGAACGCCCCTAGCCGCGTATACCACATCTCGCTACCGGCCGCACGCTTTGACCCGTGACGTTATCGTTATGTCGACGTTTCTCTTCGAAGTTTCTTTTGCTGATTTCTTTTCGTTCCCGGCCTGCATCGTCTGCCCGCACCAGCCAGCCCCTGAACCCCTGCATGGCGCGACCAGATGGCTAACCTGCCTCAGATGCTACCCAAATGTGACCATGTCTCTTACATGCTCGCGCAATTACTCAACGAACCAAACTACCAAAGCATAGCCGATTCTTCATCTGAGCGGGCCGATCCTATCCATTGCAAAAGAAGGTACGGCCGTATCAACATGGCAGGAAAACGCGCCGAGAGGATAGGGGGGAAGATACACAATGAGTACGAGAGGGCGGGGCGAGATGCAGGAGTGAAAAGCTTCGTTCAATCGCTGCATGACGATTGATGGAGAATTGTTCAATGCACTGCATAACGCAGCCGCGGAAGGCAAAAGCAGTCGTCGTCGTCGTCGTCGAGAAAAGGAAAATAGTTGAAAAGAGGGGATGAGGTACCCGCTCTCTGCATAAGGTCGGCTGCAGCACCACGTACTCGAAACTGCTTCTTTCATGTCCCCGGTCGTATCCTTTTGCTTTTCATCACAAGGACGGCACGGAATCAGATGTTAGATGCAGTGCGAAGCTGGCTTCGGGACTATGTTTGTTTTCACCGGCGTAATTTCTCCGCTTTTTCTTCTTCTTCATGCGTTGTAATAACGGAGATATGACCGGTGACACGGTATTGGGAACATTGGCTGAATTTTGTATGCCCATGATCCGCATCGCAAGACTTACGGATCGTGCAGATGCCGTTACCCGACAGATACGATCATGTGGTAGCTGACTCCACCGCCGACATCTTCAGTGGCTTGCAAGATCGCGAAACGACAAGCTCAAGTCAATCGTCATGACGGTCGCAACCGCTCAATCGCTTGGAAAGTACTAGACCAGCCGGATATCAAGCCCAAAACTCTAGTCAGGAACGTATCCGCGATCGGGCATAAGTGTGCAGTTCCGTACCACGGTTTGTGGTCCTCTTCGGTTCCAGAAAGTGACAGAAGGCGAGATTGAGATAGGCAATCGCAACCGAAGACATCGCCAGACCAAGCTCAACAGCTTGGTACCCTAGTATGGAGCTAACAGTTCAAGTCTAGGTACGGGAAATTAGATATATGTACGTATCTTCTCGGCCTAGACGTCGTGGAAGAATGTAAGCGAGAACGAGTGCTTCCGTAGGCCCTTTGAGTCAACACGAAGCTCTTTAGAATATCAACTAGACAGACTAGTTCATGTGGGTCGTTTTTTTGTCTGATTACGGTTTGCTAGAAGACATGTATTGCTATGATGTCACTATCTATGTACGTATTGTATAGTATTCGGAGAACAGATCATGTACATCTTGCTTTGGGACGAAGCAACACGGTTTCCACGTTTCTGACTAAGTTCTTTCGTGTTCTATGTGTTCATCCTACTTCTTCCACAATTTCCCAAGACTTCATCTGGCATAGCTTACTTTCTCTGACATGCTCAACGTCGGATGTATCACAACTCCAACATTGATTACATTATTTTTTGTAATTCCTTCCACATACGACCACAGGCGAAGGATAAACACTGGATCCCGTTTGCTCTCCACACGTTAAGCCTTCGACCGGCGGACTAGTAGTCAGGTGGGTGACCACTGGCGAATCCCCGCTGTTGTATGTTTTTTATCCAGTATTTTTGCCTCGTCTTCCAAAGTAAAATCTACGCAAGAAAGATAAGAGATAGTGCCATTCGATAACAAGAATATGTTTTGCGTGCATGTCAGCGGCTGGGACGTTGTGAGATTGGTGACGATAATGGTATTCTGATGACGATCGCCAGTCAGCGACTATGATGATGCGCCTCGCAGATGCAGAACAGAGTGTCTATGGAATTAAAAGACCTTACACTAACGACAAGCTGGTCACGTATTGAGAGACTCAGCCAACACCATGCGTGCCATATTTATCCTTCATCTAAACCGCAATACTCCCACACCAGAAGTCTGCCACGCAAACCGTCGTCTCTGCTCCCAGCACTCCAGCACTAATTCTAAACGTACTCGTTCCATCCCTAAAACAGGCAAACTCCTCCTTGAGATTCCCATCTCCCGTCAAGGTCGCCGACCCCGCAAGCTCGCTCTTCGGCAGCGTGTCAGCACTCTGTGCAATCCTAGATTCAAAAACACCAGACTCGAGGGTTACGCGCCGAGTGAAACCAGCCCACTGGACAGCGCGCGGAGAAGATACGGTGCCGATGTCTGTGGGGTTGTTGGTAGATGCGGAGCCGCTGTAGAGGATCGCAGAGGATAAGGTTGTGTCGGCGGTAACGGACCGCGTGGTGCAAGTGGTGAGGTAGACATTTCTTGGAGAGCCTATTAGGGCGGTTCGAGGCATTATTGGGATGGCGGAGGTAAGGAACGCTGGCCATGCGATCAGGATGGCGTTGGCGATGTGCATTGTAGTCGTTCGTTGGAAACAACACGGAGTCGAGTATACAGGTTGCTATAACGATTTTAATCAGAGTTGCTAAGGACAAGGAAGGCAAGTGTCTGAAGAATCAGGGCTATGATATATATTCTACTGGTTTAAATTCCAAGCTCGTAACCCGAACACATGCCATTCTCGCATCAACACCTCCCCAACCCGAAATCCCACCAACGCTCTTCTCATCTATATTGATGGGTCGGTAGGCTAAATAGATGGTTGTTGAGCCTCTTCAGCCCATCCCCCGGTTACAACACGAGGCTTTAGATGATGCTGCATACAATTTTGTATACAGGCAATACCAGCTGCATGGTAAGCCATCCCTGCCACCTTCAACGATCGGCTGCGATTGTCGGCAATCTATCGCCGGTCCAGAGTGAGACGACGGCCAACTGATTTAGGCGATCGCAATTCTGATAAACATGTAAGACACGGGGAGATCATAATCGCATTTTGCTAGATGCTAGAGGAAAAGTAGAAAGAGATCTCGGTTCAGAACATGAAAAATCCCATGTGGGAGTTTGATAACTACATATAAATAGATGCAAAATACCAATTAGCCCAACAAGCCGGCAGCAAGCGCCTCCATATCTTCCAGTGTCTCCGGCTCCTCCACTCTGTGCGTCGCCTTTGCCTTCTTCCTCTTCTTGGTTTTCTCTTCATCTTCGGAATCAGATTGGAACCACTTCTTCTGTTTCTTCGGCTGCTCTTCTTGCTCTTCTTCGTCTTGATCATCACTGTATTCTGCGTCCGCCCTAAAGTTGGCCAGAAGGTCCTCACCAGGATCAGGAAGCTCGACACCCGCATCCTCACCACCTTCACCAGCCAACTCAGCCCTCTCTCTTTCTTTGCGTTTGAGCATTCGCTCCTTCCTCTTCGCCTTCGCGGTCGCCTTATCCTCGACATCGGCGGTCTGAACAACCTCACGTGCTGCTTCAATGAACTTTTGACGTTGCTCTTCTGGTAGACCTTTGGCGCGCCATTGCTCCTCGTCTTCGAGTTCGTAGATCTCGTGCGGGTTACCTTCGTCGTCGTAGACGAGCTTCTTGCCCTTATCCATAAGTTTGGTAAGCTTCTTCTTCGATTGCAGGAGCTTTTCGCGGCGGTTGCTGTCGACAACAATTGGTTGAGAAGCACCAGCAATATGAACAAGGCGACCACCTGGTGGGACTTCCGGAGCCTTATCCGAGTCGAGATCGCCCGAATCGTCATCAGCTGGAATTCGTCTTTTGACGGCCATGAAGTCGTCGTCGGCGGCGTTATTCGTCGCTCCGGCACCACTGAACTCATCTGCTGGGGCTTCGTCGTCTCCATCCCTGACCAGCTTCTGGTAATGCTCTGCCAAAACATCCTGGTTCTTTCGCTCGAACATGCGATCATATTTGGTTCGCACAGGTTTGTCTGCCTTTGGAGCCTCTTCAGCGTCCGAAGAGTCTGAAACTTCAATCATCTGTCTTGATGCCTGTTTCCTCTGCTTGCTGTTGTCATCCTTCAAGAACTTGATCTTTGGCGTTCCCGGTAGACCCAAGCTAGCAGCGTATGCTTCCAAGTTGTACTCCTTGAGCTTGAACACCTCTTTGTCTTTTTGGAGATAGATCGATTTGACGTGCGTCATGAATGCTTTCTGACCGAGGTACTTGAGAGCTGGATCCTGGAAGCACATGTTCTGTAGCTGGTCCTTGATTGATTGACGCTTCTTTTGTCGTACGTTGATCATCTCGACGGGCACTCTCTTAGCCTCCAAGCGCTTGAGCATGCCCTCCTCTTCGCTTGGTGCCAAGAACAGTACTCCGCGTCCCTCCCGGTTGTACCGTGCTGTTCGGCCGACACGGTGGATGTAGGTATCGACGTCGTCCGGGCAATCGACTTGAATCACGAAGTCAACTGCTGGGAAATCTAGTCCTCGAGCTGCGACATCTGTCGCAAATAGGCAAGAATGTTTCGCCGCAGAGAACTTTGCCGTTGTATCAAGTCGAGCTCCCTGTTTTTGACGACCGTGGATATGGAGAAGTGGTATACCAGGCTGCATGTGACGGAAAGCTTCGTAGACGAATCGAACAGTCTTTGCAGACGAAAAGAAGCAAAGAATCTTGGACTTCTTGCTCGCCTGTATGAAACTCCATAGGGTGTCCAACTTTTCCTCAATCGGGCAAACGATGTAGTTTTGCGTAAGTCCCTTGGGGGTCGCGCTCTTGTCCTCGGCGTGTACGGATACATATTCGGGGTCTTGAAGACTCAAGCGAGCCAGGTCGGAGACTTTCTTTGACTGTGTAGCCGAGAAGAGCAGCGTCTGCCTTTCTTTGGGAAGATATTCAACGATGGCGTCGACGTCCCGCTGGAAGCCCATGTCAAGGATCCGATCTGCCTCATCCAGCACCAGCATCTTCAAGTCGTCCACCTGGAAGGCTGCTGTTTGCGACAGATGCTGTAGCATACGGCCCGGTGTTGCAACGAGAATATTCATCTTGGTAAGAGCCTCCCTCTCATCCTGCAAGCTCTTTCCTCCAATCAGCAGACCTGCCGCAAACATGTGTCCATGTCGTCCGATCTTGCGCAAGACATCGAATATCTGGATAGCGAGTTCTCGGGTTGGGGATAGGATCAAGGCGCCCAAGCCAGCGTCGGGGCCAATGTGCTGATGTCGGTACAGATTCTCTAGCACGGGTACGATGAAGGAGAGTGTCTTTCCGCTACCAGTCTTGGCGGCACCAAGAATGTCGTGTCCCTGTAGGGCCAGCGGTATGGCTTTTGCCTGGATATCTGTCATGACGGCGAAATGCGACGATTTGAGGCCTTGCTTGGTTGGGTCGGAAAGCGGGAGGTTGGTGAAGTCTTTATAAGCGCCATGCTTGGGGTCCTGTATACGGTTACTTTGCTGCGCTCCATGTCTCCTGTAAGTCGCTGCATACATACCAGTGCCTGGACAGCCTGGTCCAGCTTCGCGACATCTACATCATCGCGCGTCCTCTTCTTGATGTTCTCCCTCTTCTTGACCTTGGTAGGTCGCGTGCGACCAGTGAATCCAGATGCAACCATTTCAGCGCACTACCTCGTCTTCGGCTTGCTTCGGTGTTGAGGCTGGTTGGCGCATCGCGAGAGAACTTTTTGGTGGAGAACTTCGGCTTTGGTGGACCGTGCGCTTCGCCGCGGGGATTCACGCGGCATCGCGCGCTGCTGTCTTCACCGTCACTTCCACCAACAACACAAGGAAGGAGCTGGGTGCAGCTTGATGAGTCCTGATCTCTTCCTTTTGTAGTTTTCGAACAACAATATACCGACCTCCACCCCGTCTATACCCGAACCAATACAACGCGTCCATACATTCACCATGGCCGATGACGATATCGATGCTCAGCTCGCGGGCCTCGGCAAGGAGCTTGACAAGGACGCTGAGATAGACCGTAAGTTGCACTTTAGGGCTGCTTGAACCAAGATCGAACTTGACCGTATTCATTTTACTATACTAGAATCTTATGCTAACAAACACAGGCATCCGTAGTGTTTTCAGTCTCGATGCCTACGCCGTCCTCGATCTCCAGCCCGGTGTCCCCGAATCCGACATCAAAAAAGTCTACCGCGCCAAGTCCCTCCTTATTCATCCTGACAAGACCAAGAACGAGCTCGCCCCCGATGCCTTTGACCGTCTCAAGAAAGCCCAGACTGTCCTACTCGACGAGAAGCTGCGCGCAGAGTTAGACGAGAACATTGCCGATGCGCGCATGCTGCTCATGCGAGAGAAGAAGCTCACGGCTGACGACGAAGAGACACGTGGCGAGGAGTTTGCGAAAGAGTGGAGGCAGAAGGTCATCTGGGTCATCAGAGACAACGAGATGAGGAAGCAGAGGCAAATGAAGGCCGCTATGAGAGAAGAGGGACGTGCACAGAGGAAGGAAGATGAGGAGATTAAGGAGCGCAAGAGGAAGAGGGAGCAAGATGAAGCTTGGGAGAAGACCAGGGATACGCGCATCAACAGCTGGAGGGACTACCAGCAGGGAAAGAAGCCAGAGCCCGCTGACGGCGCAAAGAAGAAAAAGAAGAAGGTGAAGGCTTTGGGATGATTGCTTCCAGTGCGCGGTTCCCAAGGCAGTAGCGATTGCAAATGTCTGGAACCCAGTCCTCTGTTGACGGCGTTCAGTCCTTGAGAAGACAGGTCGTTTTCTTCCAATTGTACTTTCATAACCAAGATACCCATTTGTTCTTACATTGCATATTCAATAAGCATCTTGCATTATTAACCTGAATGTGCGCACGCTATATTTCATCAATTCTGACGCCAGCATCCTCATTTCCACCACAGGCTTGTGTTACGTTCCGTCGCATCTGGTAGGCGGAACTCGCGAACACTGTGTTCGTCACATCATTAGAGTTTCGCCCGCCCGTAGTAGCTGTTTCACATTTCGAGGCTTGTACCACGACACACGCCTCAACAGATAGTGGACAAGAGCGCGATGTTATATGGCACTTTGAAAAACGTACTCTGAACAACAGAGACTCGTGAAAGAAGGACTCGCAGGTCTCTCTTTCTCTCACATTCGTATTCCTATATGGGAACAGAGCTAGTATATTTTATACTACGTCCAACTTCCTTTGTTTCTCGACGGCCTTGAACCAAAATGCGACAAAAGGGTATATCCTCCACTGGCCTAGCAGCCAATAATTCCCCAACCCCCACACACTATCTTTAGAGCACAGCCAGGCTGCCGTTTGCTCACCGCTGTGTTTATATATACTTCCGGACTTGTATCCGTGGTTCTCTTATCGAAAGAGAGAAAGATATGTTGAATGTTGAATGTGATTCCAAGAATAGAAATGCTCAGATCAAATGTGACCATCGTCCTTGATCATTTCCCCAGGCCGAAAGGCCACCAGTCCAAGACTCCAGTTTCCCGTATATATGTGGTGTTGATCCAATGTTCATGGAACTGCTCAGCACCAGTAGGCAGATCTCCCTCCCTTGGACCCTCAGGCAAGACCGCGCTTTTAACCTGCACGACGTGTTCTCAACCCCAGAATAATCCCCTTACTGCTCCGCTTTGAAGAACGAACGGGAAAGTTCAATCCTCTCACCGACTTCTGACCATCGATCGAGCGCACAAATGTCTGTTATTTACAAATGCGAATTGTCATACGAGCAGCACCCGACTCGTCGGATGATGATGAAACACCAACGCGAGGGCACGGATCACCTGTGGTACAGGACGTGGAAGATTTAGACAACGAGTGCTGAGATAGAAGATTGCGAAGATAGCCCAGAGCGACGTCTAGGGAAATATAAGAAGAACGAACGCTCCAGATGACCAAACAGTTAAACAAGGTATTGTCGTATCGACGCCAGGACATGCGACTATATTGAAACAGAAGCCGAAGCCAAATGGTGTGTCCATGCTAATTGCGTCAAGAGGGAGCAACAGAAAGAGCAAGATGCGATACGCAACAAAATTGAGTGGGCAAGCTCCCAGCTTATGGCTTGTTGCAGGAAAAAGACAGAAAGACAAGTGGTAACGCCTGAAATGCAACGCAAACGACAGACACGCAGAAAATGCATCCAAGAGCGATGACGAAATGAGTATGAAAGCAAGGGCTAGTCCATGTCGTTGTCCGTGTGCAACATGCGCCATCCCGCTCGAATGCGCCGAGTTTCAGTCAGACAAGGGAACCCGTCCCTCGGTACCCTTATACCATAGCCGCCTCTTGGAAACACATGGTCCCTTCGTTTCCGCAAAGACCCCGCCGCTTATGCCCCACGTACCATGTCATCTTCCTCAGTTCCGTCTCAGGAACGCATTGCTGCTCATCTTCCTCCCTCCTACCGCCTTAGTCCAGCACCTCATGTATATTGAGACGCCTCCGCTTACCCGTCTCAGGCGATTCAGGCCTCCGCTGTTCGGCGCTACTCGAAGGAGAGTCGCGTGGTCGCACACGTTCGCGTTCCGAGGCACCAGCACCTGTTTCGACGTGTAGTGGTGAGCCGAGAGGTGCCGGCCCTGTTCGGATAGGCGGTAGGTGCAGCCCTTCGAGACGTGGAGGGCGATTGAGCTCCCGCAGAGGTTCCGACGTCCCTGCTGAGGGCCGAGAATTTTGCGCGTATGGCGAAGGATATGCGCTGGTTGTGGGTTGTGGAGGTCCCTGATATGTGGGAAAGTACCCGGATTCCGGGCCTCCAGTTGGGGAGTAGCCGTGTGACGGGCTGCTCTTGTAGGAGCTAGGACTAAACGTAGGAAGAGATGTTCGGATTGACGAGAAGTTGAAAAAGGGGGAGTTCGGTGCAGAACTGTTCGTCGATGTTCGCCGATCTTGATGTGGCGTGTACTGCGTGACGGGAGCCATTGACGGCGCAGACATCGTCTGTGGGGTATGCCTTGCGGTTGGAGTAGCTAATTGCTGCGTTAGAAGAGTGGGACCCGTGTGCCTCGGCGGTGAGCAAACGACTAGTGTCACGAAGTAAAGAGACGTTCTAGCAAGCCGAATCTGGACCTGCAGAGACTGGTACTGTCCACTACTCGGGAGGCGGAAGCTAAGGAACATGGACCTGTTCGTATAGCCCTGGGTGAAATGGTCAATGTCATGATCTGCGACAGAGTCCATCACCGCGCGCATAGGATCTTGTCCAATCGGAGTAATGGGCGCCATGTACGTCGGCTCACGTTCATCACGCTCATCGCGCAGCTCGTTTCGCAGACGCTGCATGCTTTCGTTTTGCTGAGCTTCTAGAAGATCGCCAAGATGTTTACCCCTGATGTCTCCGAGGAACGACACAAGGTCTGCAAAAGCTTGGTTTGCTTTTTGTATCACCAGATCCAGATTTAGGTAAACGACAGGAAGCTTTTGGTACGCCATGTTCGGTCCCGCACCAAAGGGAGGCGCTTGTACTCCACTGTACTCGCCGGCTGTATCTCTAGGTGCAGATGCAGCTGAATGAGGCTCTTTTTGATGGGTAGTACTCTCCAAAACTCGTTGAGGTTCGAAGGCTCGATATGGCTGAGACAAGGGGTACGTCGGCTGATGGGCGTGAGGTTCGGAGGTAGGTGGCGCTCCTACGAGCTGGGTAGGTGGTGGTCTTCCGTCTTCTGACCTAGTAAACTCCCTATCGTCTCTTAACCGTGGCCTTCCTCTCTTTTTATGTTGCACGTCTTTGCAGGTGTCCTGTTAGACGCGTTAATTCTGTTCTGCGAGGCATTTGCTGTGTTGAGCTTCTGTTGCGGAGTAAAGATACTGACCTGCTTTCCGGAAGCGACGCAACGACCACAAGGGCGTTGAATGTCGCAGCTGAGATGCGCCTTCTTGCAATTAACACAAGCCGACGCCACGTGTGCTTTAGTTCTTCGCGCTGGCTTAGTAGGCCTTGCCGGTGGAGGCGCGATCATTGCGCCTTGCTGCACCATAGGCCCTGGGTGTTGAACTCCAGCGTAAGGGGGCAGGCCAGGATTTTGGTAGCCATAGCCGTAGTTGTGAGGGATGGCATGGGAGTAAGGTTGGTGCTCGAGAGGACGTCCAGGCGGGTAGTGAAGCCCTTGACCCCTGTGCTGGGGTTCCCCAGGGTAAGGTGCTCGCTGCAGAGGAAGAGCATGCGCAGCCGACGTAGACCGCGGATCGTATACTGATGGTAGAGTCGGCGGTTGAGTCAAACTATCCTGTCTTTGGGATGTGCCTGCCAGCGGAGGGTAAGAGAGGCGTGCAGATTCAACAGACTGTGCTGGTCGACGAGAAGGGGAATGAGATTCGGACATGGGCGGAGACGGGTAGCCCTGGTGCTCAAGCCTGTTAGGACTGAACTTTGACCGGAACTTGGCAAGGCCGTCTTCAGGTTCTGAATGCCGCCCGAATGGCGTAGAGAGGAGTGAGGTCGGACCAGGTAATACCAGGCTCTGCATAGTTTGACCACCGCGCGCTCAGACGCCGCGTCAGCAGCGGGAGCACAATGGTTAGAGGTATGGCAGGATCGAATAAGTGTGCGGCCCCGCACGATACCCTTCGGACTGCGAAGCAAGAAAGGGCACGGTACGGAGATGTTGGTGTGGCTGTATGATGAGGCCTGCATGGCGTCCAAGGTAAGCTAGTGCACAAGCGAGGAGAAGATCAAGACAATGACCAGACATAGGGCATTCCCTTAGGGTTGGATATTGGCCAACACGATAATTACAAATGACCAAAAGGTTCTAACGCAAGGTGGCGGCATCGTGCCAGCCATGAAGAATCTGAAGTAGAAGACGGGATGAGAGGCAAAAGGGAGACATGGAAATACCTTTTGATAGTCTTCGGAAGGGGACGATAGCTGTTCAGCCTCTGGATGGTTCAGACGTCAGAATGGACAAGATGTCGAACGAGTATCAGGCTGGTCTCGATTGTAGCTGCAGGCGATGGGGCGGCGAGGAAGAGAAGAGGCGAGGTGGTGGTGTTGTATGCGGTGGGACCAATGAGGGTTTGGGATGGCAACTCGTCAAGGACCAGAGCAGACGTCTGTCATTCGGCGGACATTCCCCAGTAATAACCACAATCGGTTATGGAGATTCTACTCACAGATCTTTGCTAAATCCCTGTCAAGTGGTGCATGGCGGGCCATCCAGGAGAAGGGGGCCACGATGAGTTCCGGGCAACGGGAGCAGGGAAGGATGCGTCTCGGGGACAGCTACATGCTTCCCTCGTTCGGCTGATGGTTCTTCGACATTTCTGCTAGGCCGATTTTCCCAGTCGGTCGATGCACCCGCGGAATCACACATGCACGGCCGCCAGTTGAAAGCGTGCATGGGCGGTGCGGGTTGGGGAGCCTTGTCAGAGGCCGCTCAACCCCCTGTCTTCCGCACCGTCCTCGAACCGGGGTGTGCTAACGAGATATGGTCGCGCTTCTGCGCGCTATTGCACCATTGTTTTGCAGCCGCCCAGGCAAACTTTCAATTGAAGCATAGCATAAGTCGGCGCCCTTAATCCTCGGCGTGCGCTTATGTGCGACCCAGAAATTGCCTTTTCTTACCCTATCCGGCAACCATGGCGCCGCAGAGAGGATACCAAATGGGCAGCTAGCAACTGTAAAGGAAGGAAGTTATATTCACCCAGGCGA